TCTCTCTCTCTCTCTCTCTCTCTCTCTCTCTTTGTTTTCTCCTTAATACTTCTACTAATGATCCTCATGGCATAGGCTACGGTAATGAATAATCGCTGCTCGAATTTTGCTTTTTTTCCAAAAAGAAAGAAAAATAATTTTTCAGTTTGAAAAAGCAAATAGCAAAAGCCTGGATGGGGTATTAAATCAACCAATTTAATGCACTTTTACATGTCAAACGACACAAAAAAAAAGACATTCGGAAAAAGCAACTGATGGAATGAGCGGATCAATAAAAATCATCCGAGGGAAGATGAGAACATTTGTCTTTTAAAGTTCCTTTATAATCACAAGTAAAAGCATTAAGCTTTCAAATGCTTTGGTGAAGTTTCGAAGAACGATAGATGAATACCTGAGCCGCTACAACTAGCTCAACACTTATGCCGTTGGTCATTTGTGAATGTGTTGATCGGAGTGATGTAACTGTTGCGTAATCTGGAGGTAATGATGATCCCAAGCCACTAGTTGAACGTCCATTTGTGGCACCTGATGAAGTGGAGGTTGAAGCTAGCGGGGAAGCATTTGTTGATGCTTTGGGGCATGATGACGTCGACATCACCTCCACGGACGTTGACATCTGAATTCAAAGCTATAAAAATAGAAAATGAAAGACGAATTCCACTACACAAGAAATAAGCTGTATTGAGTCAGAATAAGACGGAAAAAGCATGCCGCATAGCAATCCCTAAGGGCATATTCCTTTCTCCAAAACGACAGGTTTCAATGTCAATTCAATGCTTGACCAATAGCATATATGGTCAAGAATAGAAGTTCAATCATCATGATACATTTTTTTAATGAAAATATCAAGTTCGACTAAGAAAAAAGATTTTTCGTTTCAAAATTGTCCTTGTCATTCATTCAGTCAACCAAACATGTAATAGAATGTGAGCTATATTTCTCACTTTCCGCTTTTCCATGAGGATAGAATTGAGAAAGCTAAGAAAAAAAAGTGAAAATTGAAGGAAGATGCTTCGTTTACAAATCTGAGAGCCAATTAGAAAGATGAAACGATGAGCAAGTACGGAAGCGGAGTATTTACACAGTAAAAGTAAAAAAAATACACAAATTCATGAAAAGAGCGCTTTCTGTTGTTTTGAATGCAACCGCTCATGAGCTCAAGGAGCCATTAAATGAGCTTCATGTTCACGTGAATCTTTCCGTGACTAACGCACGTGATGTATGTTAATCAAGATACTAACTTTGAACCACTAGCTAATCGTCGGAACTACTGGGAAAAAATAAAAAAAAAGGGAAAAAAGTATTTTTCGAATCGAAAGTGAATTGACGAAGTCGTGAAACGGCAAAAGCAAGCCTCATTTGACGCGAAATTAAATCTAATGTAAAGGAAGAAGTACAAAATCGAAGTAACAGAATGGATATGTGAGAAGAGAAGTAAGTTTATTGAGGGAATGCGTGATGAGAAATAAAAAAAGAGGAAGAGAGAGAGATCAATAGAAAGGGAGAGAAAGAGAAAGAGAACGGAAGGATAAGTAAAAAATGAAAAACAAAATATAAATTGAGGAAGGAGGAAGGTGAGAAGGTTCGATATAGGTAACTGAGAAATTAAAAGAAGAACAAAGGCTACAATGAATCTTCATTCTATCTTGTCCAGTTGTAGTGAAGAACAATATCTATATATTTATAATAGACAGAGGAAAAGAAAAAGAGGGTGGATGCGAGGAAATCGAATGAGAGAGGGAGTGGTTGATGAGTAAAGATAACAGCAGACCCGACATGTCCATCACAGAGTAGCCATCATGATGAAGCTAAGCAGGTAAATTGCTATTCTTTCATAAACATTTAGTTTTTGACTTTTGAATTCTCATTAAATTAAAAAATGGCTGATGGAATATGATCTAGCAGAATGAATAGATGTGAAGTAGGGCAAGCCTGCGAAGCGGCAACAGCGGTAGGACAGCTTGTCAAAAGGTCTAATTGAGAAAATTAGCTTCGAACAAAAGAGCAGCCATTTGCCAAAAGAGTTAAAGAAATGAAATTTGAAAAAAAATAACGTTTACTTTCTATATTTGGCTGTATTAGCTGAGAAAAGACGATGACACTACTCCAAAAAAAAGAAAATGAGAAAAGGGAGCGAGGGGGTAAGGTTAGAAACAGCTAAAAAAAAGAAAAGAAAGGAGAAATAAATAGAGAGGGAGGCAGGGAATGAGAAAAGGAGGGAGACCTATGTCGTTTAAGAATATGAATCGGTTGTTCGAGCTCAAGCTGGTAACAAGTCGTAACAAGGCAGACGAACGAATATTGGATGCTTCAAAAGGAAGAACTGCTCTTTTTCTTTCTTCTTCACTTCATCGTTTTTCCCAAAAAGAGCATTCCTATACGTTGTCTTCACATACATACATTTAAGCTTATATGAAAATATCCAGAGAGTGAGAGAGGGAGGGAAGGGGGGGAGAGGAGAAAAGAGAAGTTAAAACGATGAAGTGGGTGGATGAAGAAGGAAAAGAATATGAAAAACTGGAATGACTAAAGGAATAAGAAGAGACAGAAAGAATATGAAAAAGAAAACGAGGAATAGATGAAAGCAGACAGAGGAAAAGGACTATGGGCTCGAGGGGGAAAGGGAAAGGGGACTTTGGGCCTGCCATATCTTATCGATTCCCTAGACACATTCTTTAACTCCGCCTATTTCCTCTCAACTCTAAGGAGGTGGGACTTTAGCTCAGCTGTTCTCTTGGAAGAGAACTGATGATTGAAAGAATGCTGAGAGAGAGAGAGGGAGGGAGAGAGAGAGAAGAGGGGAAAGATAGAGAAAGTGAGAGAAAATGGAAAGAATGGGTTCCGTTCAGCCATCATGTGCATGAAGATTCTATAATGCTTGCGCTGCTTTGTGGATTATGAACCTTTCATTTGCCAAAAACTTTTTTAAGCTTAACGTTCAGTTAGATCAAAGCAATTTTTCCCTTCACACATTTCAGGAAATATAGGAATACTCATAAGGTTGGAAGAAATACTCTGTCATTGAAGGTATGAGAAGAAGAGAATAAGAAAATAGAGAAATGCCTCAAGCAATAATACATTAGGCACAAATCCTTCCAGATTTTTTGTTTCAAATTTAATTAGTCGTCTACATGAACACGAGACAGATGGCTTTGTCTCTCATTCCAGACATTTATTTTTTGAACAAAAAGAGTAACAGGGAAGTACCTCATGACGAATTAGAGGTAAGAAAGTGATAAATACCCTGGAATAAGCTCTTATTTGAATAAAAAAAGAGAACAAAACAAAACCCATAAATGTTGCATTTTCATCTCCATGGTGCGTTCGAAACATTTCGCCCGAGTAACCGAGTCGTTTCATGGAAGTAGTTTTGGAATCTGGACGTAGTCTACTCAACTTTACAACAAAAATCCCAAATGGGCTCATCACCCTCCAAGATATTCAATTCAAGCAAATCAACAAATGTCGAGGACATTCCAAGAGTGGTATCGTTTGCTCTACACTCTCGTATTTTCGCGCTTTTAGGAAACTCCTGATGAGAAATGGGCAGAGAAATTACCAAACGCTAACGATCCATCCAATGTGTCGCCTCCTTCATTAGGAAAAAGTAAGAAAAAACACAAATTAATCCTAGGATTACCCATTTGAAGTCAAGCGAAACACTAAAGTTAGCCCAATGATTATGCCCAATGAGGATGAAATTCCAATCTCCCATAAACGAGAAGAAAAAAAAAACGAAAAAATTCAACAAATTCAACTAACAGAAGGAGTTGTCCAGGTATAGCATTGAACAGATATGAAATTTCTTTGTATATTCAATGTAGGACTATATCAATCTAGAAAAAGCTATTTATCGACTTGAAAGGAAGAACGTCATCAAAAAATTTGAATCTCAAACAATTCACTCAGATAACTTGAAGAATAGTGTTGAACAACTTGAAGCAGTGCTGAAGGAACTCCGTAAACAAACGTAATTTCTTCTTTTTCGTATTTTTAGAACAAAAAAAGAAAATTAGTTTCGTTTCTTTTAAGCGAACGCGAAAAATATGATTTGGCCAATATAGAACAACCTTCAGTCAAAGATTATTTGAAGCATCAGGTAATAGTCAAAAGTCCAGGGAGTGAACAAGGTTGAGAGGGAGAGTGAGAGCAATAAATCATAAAAGTCTAAGAAAAATTCAAAGCTGTGATGAAATTCAGCACCTATTTGGTTATTACGCAATCACCTTTCGTAACGAGGATTACAGTAATCTAAAAAAAATTTTACTTTGTTTCTGAGAGAGTTTCGTTTTGAACAATTGTCTGACAGGGTTCATGGGAAGAACGCTATAGTAAAGAGAAAACAGAATACGTCGATGCTGTGGCCAAACAGGAAAAAGCTGAAAAAGTAAAATTACATCTTTTTAATTGAATTAATCAACAAAATTCGAGGAGCTGAAAGCAGCTAGAATCAATTATCAGAATGCAGTAAAAATAACGGAAATATACAAACAACAAACAGACAATCTGTATGGATTACATGATCAACAAGACAAACTGTTATGTAAGATCAAAATTCATGAAGTTTCTATGAATTTTTCAAAAAACTCGTTTCAGCTAGTATCATGGGAACACAGAGCGCATCAGAGAAAGAGAATGTCTTAGAAAGCGAAGTTTGCAAAATTTTAATTAAAATGTTCCTCTCCACAATTTTAGGTCGAAGATATGATGGATTGGCAGCAACGCGTGTCACTTGCTATGTTTAAATGGGCAAATGGACGAGTTCTCTTGGTACACGCATTAACTCAAATCACATTTGGAATAAATCGATGGATTGATGCCAAAAATATAGATAAGGAGTGAGTTGAAAAAAAAGTAAAAAAAGCTTGAAAGCAACCGTTCTGCGAGTCATGCACATTCTATCAATCAGATGACTTATACATGAGTTAGATGACGTACCATATGAATCAATTGAACAACTCTCTCTTGTTTCTTTTTGTTGAAAAAAACACTGGAAATATTTATTTTGATTAAAATTTAAGGAATCAGCGTGGAAGATATTTTGCTGCTGCCGAAGCGAGAAATAATTTCATTGCTGCAGCACAGAATGTCCAATCATGCCGGATGTACCTAAACAAAGTAAATATTTGAATAGAAAAAACAACGAAAAATTTTTAAGGTAGATTTTCCTTATGCTACAGAGGCGGAAATAACATTAATGGAAGATACGGTTTCAAAAGCTTTCAAAAACGTTCAAGATGAAAAGTTGATGAATTCGGTGAGATTTTGGTGAATGGAAACAAACAACTTGTTCTTGAAGGCTCTCAAAACATTCAAGGAAACTCAACAGAAAGTAGCATCATTGATTCAATGGTTTGACAAAGTCATAAATGATACCATACGGAAAGATATGGATCAAGCTAACAATGCGGTAAACCTATTAATAAATGCAGTATTTGAGAGAATATTTCAGGTCATTAAAAATCAAAAAGCTTTACGAGAAGAGAGACTGAACATCCTTAAAAAACAAGTGAGAAAACAATAGATTATTCAAAGAAATCATTGATTATTAAAGACTAAACAAGTGCTTGGAAAAGATATACATATCGAGTACGATGATATTGATGATGACGAACTAGAGAAAGAACTCAAAGCGTTGGAAGAAAAAGCGCTAAAAGAAATTGAAGAAGTCAATAATGCCCAAGTTTCAGTAAGTTCATAGAACAGCTTCCTTCAAAAGTTCAATCTAGGACATTCTAACTCATGGAAATGATAATGGACAAGCCATTCCATTATCGAAATTAGCTCCAATACCGAGCAAGGAGGCCTTATTTGGTTTTAAACAGATTATTACTGAAATATGATCGTTAAACTTTAGGCGACGTCAAACAGAAACTTTCAGAGCACGAGTCAGCTAAGAAACAATTTGAAAAAAGAAATAATTTACAAAGGGAGAAGCAAGAAATAGCTTTACAGGTGACAATGTTTTTCAGAGAAACAAAAAGCTAATGAATTGTTAATCTTAAGGAGAAACTGCGAATGAGACAACAGAAAGGAGGGAAAAGAATGAAGAAGGAGAAAAAATCTTCGAAACAACACTCATAACTTCAACAACTTACTCATAAGCGCGTTAGAATTCGGAATATTGAAGCTATCGCTACGATTTTGCCACCCAAAGCAAGAATGTTTGGATGGGCCATGTTCTGGATAATCCATTGAGCTATCTTAAAATAAAGTTGGTTTATGCTTGTGCTTAGTTTATTCTCCAACCGAAGCTCCTAAGTTCTTTGTATGGTCGAAAGCTGCAAACGCTCTTGGGTTTGTATTCAATATAAGCCAAAGCTCTGAGTAAACGTTTGAAGACATGAACAGGAAAGACAAGCCCATCAAGACCTGAAAATCATTTTGTCAGTTAAGCTTTCACGCATTCAACGTGGATTTGCGCAGAACAATGATTGTTACTCACGCAAAGTACACGTGTATTTGGCGCGAAGCGCAAAACCTTATTTTCCAAACGTTGATTATGAGAGCGGTTGTATACTTAACATTTTTTTTAAATGTTTGAATCTTACATAGTCTATTGATTCCCAACTAGCTGTCACTTCCACATGTGAAGTAGCATACGAAATAAAGGCTGGGAATGATAAAGCCAGCGAAACAAGGCCGGAATAATACAAACAGAATTGCTCGACATGTCCTACAGAATAATTGAATTATCGAAAAATAGGAAGAACAAAGTGGTATCACCTTGATACATTTGAATATGAGCTTCCTGGATTTTGAGTACGCATAAACCTCTAACAATAGCAAGAATAGGTGAGCATAATAGAGAGAATGCCGTATATTCCATTTGTCCGAACTCCATCCAGGCTAACGAGACAGAAAGACCCAGAGGAATCTATAAAGAGAAATAGATGACAGTCCATTTCTTAAAACCCAACCAGTAAGGGAGCTTTCGGGTGCCCGTTTACACGTGAAGGAACATACTTCTGTACATTGAAACATATGGTCAGCGTGAACAGAAAGTCAAAGATTCTGAAAATTAGATACGAGTGATTCAAAAAATCCATATAAAAACCTCGTAGTATAAAGAGCTCCAGTTCGATTTTGCGAGTGTACAATCGAAGACAGCAAAACTTCTAATACCTTCAAACCAACGGGAGTGTACAGATTCTAGAGGGACAGATGAGAATAGAAATGTAAGAAGAATTACTTGATACTGAACGCTGGTTTTTGGAATACAGCCACTTTTGTAGAGAAGTAGCATGAATAAGAAAGTGAAGAAGTAATGCAGGAAATGAATAAGAGTTGTGTGGAAATCCAAAACGAAATGTAAAACGTTATGAGCGGCCGAGAGCATGAATGAAGAAGCCAAATTGAGCAGGAAGAAGTAGAGAACATCCTGAGCAGTCAATTGTGTCAATAACAACAAAGCTTCAAACTTACTTTTCTGCTATTAGTTAAAACCGGGGAAGATTCTTTCGAGGTTTGCATGTTTCCCACAAAGAGAATTCCTTCGAATGACTTCGATTGTCCTTCCAAAAACGAAGATTAACATCTTTCACTCTTTCTAAAGCAGGTTATCGAACTAACGGATCAATTAACAGATTTCTTTGATCACATTTGCATATTTTGAAAAATACAAACAAATCATTTTTTCCAAAAACCATATCAAATCAATTATCTGTCATTACGTATACATGTTGCTTACCGTAACTCAATCTTCGAGCAAAGTACAGTACAACAGAAGAGCGAGTTAATGGGCAATTGTGGACATTTCATCTTCTCGTATAATCTCTCTAATCTCTGATGCATCTGAAGACTACTTCTGTTTAAAATTCGAGAAGATTTTTCGTGTTCGTTCTGCCATTTGTTCATATCAAAAGACCTTTTCTCAGCTTTTTCATCTGTTCTTCGATATCTTTCTCTTCTATCAGCTTTTTCTCAGTTGAACTCAATGTCACAGTTTGGCATTATGTAGGATCTTTCACCAGCAACTCCTACACTTTCTTCTTAATCGAAATTATCAATCTCTCTCTCTCTTTCTCTCTCTCTCTTTCCTCGGTTGGTCGTGAGTTTTCTTTTAAACAACCTTGCTTTAATATTCTCATGCTTGCAGATTTATCCCTCCAGTATTATTCCTCTCTTTCATTCGACAAACTGATGGATGGATTTCACTTCTCAAAGCTTTTTCGCAAAGGAGCAATACCTTCGGCATCGGAGCGCTTTTTCACTGACCAGATGCTCAATGATTGAATTTAAACTTCAGCTTTATAGTGTTATCCGTGCATCACAAATTGTTCTATATCATCTATTCCCTTTGTTTCAGACTACTGTAATGGTAAGCTATACAGTACCAACAAACAAAGTAAAGCTTGAGATATTAAAGAGAATAAATTTTTACATTGAAATATCTGTTCATGAATTAGAGTAAATCAAATGATGATCTGAAAACAGGATCGTGAGCAGAACCGAAGAAGGTGTAAGGCTGATTCTCAGCTTTTATTATTTGTGAAATCAGTAGAGAAGTCATCTGGAAGATTCGAATTTCCAGCTTTTCTTTCAAAATTTCAATCTCTCCTTCGTACTAAATGCTCCATTTCTTGTTATTGCTTTCGATACCTTGACTTGTTCATCTTCATCTTCTATCCCAGCCTTTTGCCTCTCATTTCTCTCTCGTTTTCTCTTATTTTTCTTTTTCCATCTTTTATCCTTTTTTTTCTTTTTTTCTCTAATCTCTTTACTTTCCCTCATTATTTTGTATTGTTTCTAACGTTTTTGAGTGGGCGCCATCTATTCTTAGGGGAGCCCTGTGGGCATTCGCCTGTTGTAATGCCTCTTCTCCTCCCATCCTTCTGGCTAACTTCCCACCTATCGGCTGCCATGCTTTTCAGTCTCAATTCATCCACTAAGTAGCTTTAAGCTGACTTAAATCTTCATTTTTTAACTTATTTCGTCTCGTAACTCGTATCTTAAAACAGTTAATCGAATGATCTCTTTATCTTCAACAAATCCGATAACAGTACTCTCATTACGACTCTTTCAGCAATCAGGATGCCACCAACCGAGGATACTCCTGTCGGTAAGTCCTATTTACATTTTCGATATAAACATTTTCTTTGGTTTTCTTTTCCTGTTGAGTTTTATGAAGATGGTCCGTGAACGAGAGGTTGTATAGCAGAAGGTTGCAAGCAGTAATAGAGGTGGGGGAACGAGGGAGTGAAAGGAAAAGGATGAAATGCATGTAAGAGAAAGAAAAAAGAGGAAGAGAAAGAGAATATAGAGGGAAAACCTATATTTTATGTAAAACTGAAAAACGTTTACATATATGGTTTTGATCAAGGAGCAGAAAATGAAAATAAGAAGAGCAATTGTCTATCCCCTCTCTCTATCATTCTCCAGTTGACGATTGACTCCGGCAGTGTGTAAAGTAATTTTCTTTCTCTTCTTCTATTTTCTCTCTCCTCTCTCTCTGAACTTTCTATGATATTGTTCAATTTCTTTTGCTCTTTTCTCTTTTTTATCATCTGCAGCCATTAGTTGTTTCCTTTTTATTTCATTGAATGCTTTTCCCAGAACGATATCAGAGCTTAGAAACTTGAAGAATAAGAAGAGAAATCATGGAAAATCTGACCTTCTCAATGAATTTAGAAAAATAATAGAATCTATACAAACAAAAATGCATCTGCTTGTCGTCTTTAAACTTCCTGTAAATAGAGAGAATTCTCTCTTTGAATTGAATGATATCTCATCCTTCGTTCACTATCAACTCCCAGCTTTCTCTTCAAAAGTATATTATTAAGCCATCTTATATAATTTCGAGTATACGCTCATTATTACGATAATAATAATAACAACAGATGAAATTAATAAAAGGGATTGACAGTTGACAAGCACGAATATCCTTCTTGACATCTCTCCTACTCTCTTCCTCTCTCTCGTCATTCTGTTAGCTTTCTCAGACGTTATCTCTCTGCTACTCTCTTGTATTATCTCAGGTTCTTCCATACTACCTTCTACCGGGTTTTCAATGATGTTCGACCTCTCATCTTCCGGTCTATTCTTTTGTATAATCTATAAGCTCCACCTACACACTCATTTCTCATCTCGTAATTTCCCGTTTTCTCTCGTCAGGACGTCTTCAAATCTTTACTGTCAACGAAGAGCGCTAACTTCCACCGGACGAGAAGAACAAGAAGCAAATCCTTCCCTCATTGCTTAAATCAGAGAAATGAAATAGAGAAAGAGAAGGAGAGAGAGAGAGAGGGAAAGAGAGAGAGAGCTTCCAACCTTGCTCCACCTCTCTCTGTAAAACCATAGGGCTGAGCCAGTTCTGAGACAATTCCATTCTCAGCTAACTGTTGTTGGAGCTTAACAGCTTCAAGCTGCTCTTCACATAAATTTCTTTACACAATTTTTTTTATTTTGATGTTTCACTCTGTTTCAAACAGTCCTCTCGTTACAAATGTCTCTTTTCAGTTTTTTTTTCAAAGTGTGCTGTAAAAAAATTATTTGAAGGAATCCGGTTAAACACGTCATTGTTCGTCCGTCCGTGTGTATCTAACTTGTGTAATTCGTTTGTACCTCCAGAATTTAGTTGAGTTTTGTGTCTCCTGCTTCTTGACAATCTTCATTCGTCCAACTGACTGACTGATTGGCTGACTGTTCCATTCGCTTTTCTCCAATATGTTAAGCTACACATCAACTCAAACTGTTCGTCAACAACATCAATCCGGTGAAAAGTTTGTCATTCAAGGATCTTTCCCATCCTATTATTATCCAACAGCTTTTTCCAAGCAACCAAACTATCCATTATCTCCGCGCCAAGAAGATGCTCTTCAACGTATTCGCGAATCATCGACGTCTGGCATCGTTCAGACACCTGATAGCACCCCTCGATCTAGTATTGTTCCTCGTTTTCATTCAGAACTACGTCGACGAGATCCTTCTATTACCTCAACTGCCTCTTCAAACTCTTTTAATGATTCCGATTGCAAACTACTTCATCCAACCGATCACTCAGCTTTTGCCCCATACTCCTCTACGACTCTTCCTGTAGTTCATGAAATACCTGTTAAAATCCAACAACGGTCAGCTTCTCCTCAGCTCAGAAAGACGAATGAATCGACCTGCGAACAAATACCTCAACCACCAAATCGAAGCCAAGCTGAGCCATCATCAGCTCTTCCATTAACTCAGAATCACATCCCAGCCAACTATTCGCAATTCGTTGCTGCTCCGACCAGCCAAAACTCATCGGCTTACGGAAAGTATCCAGAACTGACTGGTTCACAAAGGCAGAAGCTATCAAATAAGCCAATTGCCTCACAAAAATCTCTCCAATTACCAGAAGTTAGTCGACCACAGTACTACTATGAAGGTAAACTATATGTAATAGTTAACATATAAGCTTTTTTTAAATGTTTGACTAACACGTCTGTGTAAATGTTCATCTCTCATTTTCTCCCTTATAATCCCCTCATTCGTTCTTCTTTTTCAGTTTTTTTAAAGAAGAAACAAAAAGCAATTGAAATAACATTTTGCAATTTGAATGAAATCCATTTCAGAGGATGTTCAGCCAAATGCTACTATGGAGACCAAAGTTACCGGTCAAGGTCAACCTAAAAGAGTTGGAAGATGGACATTAGCCCAACTTCGCCAGACTGACGGTATCATTTTTATTCTCTACCAAGCTTTGAATTAAAACATTTGAAGGTATTATCCCCAGCCAGGCTGGTTGGAACAAGGGAGACTCCCAAAAGTTGATGACCAACTTCGGATCCCCAAGAAACACCTCCACTCGTGTAACAGCTGAAAACCTTCAAGTATGTATCGTTTCCATTGCCCCTGGACAGAAGTCTGAACGAGGCAGTTTCATGAAAAATTAAATAAATCGATGAAACGGGATAATCGCGGTTGTTTGACAAGGGTTTTCGTCTAAATATGCCTTTATCTGCATCATCCCGTCATCATCCTCATGTCAAACATTCCTATTTATCGATTGACTGTTGATATATACTTCAATAACTCATTAGAAGATGTAAGAAGATGATCAAAAAATGAATAATCAAGTCATCTGCATATCTCTAATAATTGCTTGCAGGAAGTTCCCGAAGAAATTTTGAACAAAGGACACGCAGAAGTTCGTCTCCAATCTGGTACCAACAAGTATTCTTCCCAAAGAGTTAGTAGCTGCTCTTATATGCTAACTAAGTAGTAACTATTTGAAGGGAATGACTGGATTCGGAGCTCCTCGTGATGTCTGCAGAGAAGGAAAGCACGTCAACACCAACCCTGCTGATCTTCAGGTGAATGAAATTCTCAGCAAATATGTTTGAAAGATTCTTGTTAAACATTTTCTTTAATGATAAGAAGCAAAAACACGAAAAATCTTAACAAATTTGCCCTAAGGGTACAAATGAATTGTTTACTTAATGGTTCACGTTGTGTACTTTCCTTTGAGCAGAACCTGTTCTAACTTTTCTTTATTCAGGAGCTTCCTGAGGAGAAGATCCGTCTTTCCGAAGGTATTGTCCGTCTTCAAGCTGGTACTAACAAGTATGATTCACAGAAGGTTTGTTCTTCAGATTTATTCAGAAAATGTTCAATTAATTAGGGTATGGTTGGATTCGGTACTTCCCGTCGTGAAACCACCAAAATGGTTGACAGCAAGCACCCTGAATACAGCCACGAAGCCTCCATTGATCAGAGTCAAATTCCCCTCCAATCCGGAACAAACAAATTCGCCTCCCAAAAGGTTTGATATATACAATCATCGTTTGAACAACAATTTTTAGGGTATGGTCGGATTTGGTACTGCTCGTCGTGAGACTACCAAGATGGTTGATACCACTCATCCCGATTATGATCACGAAGCTTCCATCGATCAAACCACTATTCCATGCCAGGTAAATGACATGAGTTTGTGGACAGTTTTCACGTTTTACAATTCAGATGGGATCCAACAAATATGCTTCTCAGAAGGGTATGACCGGATTCGGACAGCCTCGTTGGGAGGTAATTATAAACTTCAATAAAAATAATGAAACGGCGCATTTAGGTTCTTGACCCCTCAATCTCCTGGCAAAACCGTAAATCTCAAGGTATGGTTCGTCTCCAATCTGGTACTAACAGATTCGCTTCACAACAGGTGAGAAAACATTATATAGAATAAGCTAAAATTTCTCTTAGGGTATGACTGGATTCGGTACCTGCAGAAACACCACATTCGAAGCCGAAGGAGGTGAGCTTCCATACGAGGCAATGAAGATCTCTGAGACAATCATCCCTAGCCAAGCCGGTTGGAACAAGGGAGATTCTCAGAAGGTAAATTTCAACAGAATTACATAATACAATACATATTTTAAAGTGTATGACCTCGTTCGGAGCTTCTCGTGACGTTAAGGGCAAGCACTTGAAGAGAATTTGGGAGTTGGAATACCCAGAAGAAGCTGAGGTAAGATTTTCGTCAGAAGACATTATGACTAAATCTCATACTTTCAGGTTTCTTTGGACCGTCTCTAAACCAATGAAGCTGTGCATCTAATCTGCATAGAAATTCTGTTGAATTCTCTAATTTTAAGCTTATAACCCACAAATATTTGCAGCAATCAAAATCTGACATGAATAACACGAAATAAATCGATAAAAAATTCTTGTGCATAGCCCCAGTGTCTACTTGTGTTCATTTCTTTCCCAACGTTCTCTCTAACAAGCTTCTTTGATTTGGCCGGAAGAGAAACTTCATTTTTGTTTTTTATCAATCGAAATGGAAATGAACTTTTTGACGAACTATTGTATTGTTAAATAGATTCTATAAGCCGGAAAGTTGCTTCAGCCAGAAAGAACAATGGAAAAAAATATCTACGAGTCTTATTGTTTATAGAAATCATCATTTATGAGAGCAAATATGATTGAGGACAAAGAAATATACTGATGAAGCTTAGTTCTTATAACGTCAAGCTCACTATAAACAAATGATTTCGAATAGCATAGTTTTGCATTAGTTCGAATATCCGAGTGAGATTACAAGCAGACAATGATACCAGTTGGCTCATAGAAGTTACATCAAATACACATCAATGAAGTTGCTTTGATGCTTCTCTACCAATCATTAAGAAAAAAGATATGTTTGACACTTATGAGACACCCACACAACGCAGTATTTCGAAACATTCAACCGGAAATTTTGTTGTCTTGAGGTGTTAATGATCAAACGCTGAATGAGTGAAACAGGTTGAAGAGCTGTTTAAGAGGAGGGAAAATGAAAGAAGATGAACTCATCTTCATACAGAGAAAGAGAGCGAACAAGAAAAGCGAGGTAGGCTCTGAGAAAACGTGAGAGCAACATAGTTTTGAAGCGCCTGGTAATCCACCCCTATGACGAGTATGAGTCACGCAAAAACAAAACTGGTGTGGCAGAGACGAAGCTTCAAAGTAAAGATTAGTTCAAGTATGTTAGCTGCTTTTTATGCGTTCAGTTCGAGAAGATGTGAAACTAAGAGGTGGGAGGGCAATCCCCAACGTTCATCTATCATCTCTCCGCAAAATAGCACATGGATAGCTAGAGTATACAGAGCCGGTAGAATGAGTTGGATATAGGTTTTGAATTTCATGAAGTCGGCTAGAGATGAAGACATTCCTTGAATATTGGATGATAAAAGCTGTTCGCATTAGGAGAAAAGCTTCTTGGTTCAGTCATACCCAAGTAGCTTGTATGAGAAGCTGGCTGTCCGGAAACTTTTTCGGTCAACCAGCATTGAGAAAACGGCACAGATTACTACAATGAAAGAAGGATTTAGACTAATATAACCAGGTAAGCTTGAGACCAGAGAAGAACAAGCAACACAAAAAACTTTTCTTGGTAACTAAGTTTAATATGAAAAATAGAATAATATGTTTCTTGAAACTTAGGCTTTTCGTATCGTTATGAATAAATTAAGAAAGGTATAGAGCCACCATCACCCAATGATTTTTTGGATCATCGGCGACAAGTGTCTAAGTTGAAGAGATGGGAACATGTCACTGTACATAAATAGGTAGAGTGCGGCAGTAGAATAGAGTGATATAGGTTTTTAAGTTTCAAAAAAACCCAGCATAATACCATCAACATAACTCATCAGTGCCACATAAAAGGAGTCACCGTTTCAATCAAAGAGCAATTTATCAAATGAACAGTGCTTACCTCAATTTGCAAACCTATCATACTCCACCACACCAAAAACGAGGTACAACATTTTTCCAAAGGATGGAACAAATTATACATAGATTCACGCTTCATTCATTCTATTTCTGATAACTTCAATCCTTTAACGAATATTGTTGTGATGGTTTGATGGTGGGTGAAAATTCAAGTGAGCCGGAAACGCCTATTGTATACTACTATCAATCTAGACATCAGAGCTCTTATGAAAGAAAATAGAGAGAAGAGAGAAGTTGCAAACATAAATCTATGTAAATAACACGTAAGTTGAAGAGAATATAGAGAAAAATCAAGAAAGATGAAGAGATGAAAAAGAAAGCTGAAAGATCTATCTGATTGAGGCACTAAGAGATAACATGAATCGAGGAGATTTTTTCTCTGCAGCTCCACCTCCATCCACCACTACCGTCATTGAGAAACACCCCGAGCTGTCCTTCACTTAGTTTTGTCGTCCGTGTGAGCAGACTGTCAAACGAAAAATGTCAGCCAACGCAGGTAAGCCGCTTAGCATTTGTTTCTTTACTATTAGTTTCATTTATTCAAAATAATAATTGTTAATTCTTTAGAAGCAGGTCTAAAAGTTGCCGCTGTTGAAGTGCCAAGCACAGAGTCTAATGAAAGAAGAACTAGAGATGGTAAGAGATCTACCTACATGACTCTGATGTCTCATAATTTCTAGGAAAATGGACTCTACGACAACTAAGACAGTCCGATGCCATAGTACCTCTTCAGAGTGGAACTAACCAGTTTGACTCCCAACGAGTAAGTTCTTGCTCTCACTCTCTTTTTCAAAACAAAATGAACTAACTCTATGCCCTTCCACTGCAATGTCATCTTTTTCTTGATCTCGAAAGCTTAACTAAAAATATAAATGTAGCTAACCATGTGGATTTAACTAACCTTATATGTCGATTGTTCACAGGGAAAAACTGGATTCGGAATGCCTCGTAACACTCAGACAGCAGTTCAATTCGCTGATGATGGCAAACGTTGGTCAATTGATCAGCTTCGACAAAGCGATAGTATTGTCCGACTTCAATCTGGAACGAATCAATATGAAAGTCAGAAGGTTTGTTTCGTCTGCGTCTCAAGATTATTAACGAGTATGTACTCCGTATCGTCCTCATAAACTCTTATTTTGCATGGCAGTTAGTAACAAAACTTTTGAGAGCTCTTTTCTGACTTTGGCCGTCAACTCAAAATGTTGAGATTTGCGGATTTCTTTTTTTCGGCCTAAGCAAACGGTTCGCCTTCTCAACGATCAGTACACAATAATTTAATTTTTCATTGGCTTAAGCTATGATTATTGTGTGAAAATGATGTTCGAACGAACTCGATGATGATTTGAACAAGTAAAAATAGAAACTAATAAATACAGAAATCCGTTCATCTCTTAGCTTCGAAATCTGTTGAGAGATCATAGATTAAAGAAAGAGCCGCGAAAGGGAGATATGATATCCAATAAGTTTTTTTGATAATCTTTACTTATCGAATGTTCTTTTGCTGTTTGCTCAAGTAGAAACTCGTCTTTGCCAGAAGAAAAAGATGAAAGCTAACAGTCCTCAGTCCAATCATCATAATTTTATAATTCGAAATTACTTTCAGGGAATGACTGGGTTCGGAATGCCTCGTGATGTCAAAGGAAAACATCTGAAGAGAATTTGGGAATTGGAATTTCCCGAGGAAGCCATTGCTGATCAGCTGCCTATAAACCACCAACAAGGACAAGCTGAGCACTAAGGCTATGTAACTGTGAGCTCCTCGAAATTTCCATGATTTCTCATCACTGTTCATTTAACTATTTGCATAGTTAAAGCTAGAAAATGTCACTTATTTCCTAACAGTATCTGCTAACTATTCTCTTGGTGTTCGAAACATCTGATTATCTTATGTCATATCGTATGGATAATTCATTTTGAACGAAAACTGAAATATTTCTCCTCTATCATTTCATTACTTCTTTATTCCTTCAAAGCATCACTATATGCTGAAGGTGTCGTACGAGTAATAAACCGTTTTACCACAATCTTATATTCATAAATGAGATGAAAGACTCGTTTTTAAAAAAATGTGGACGTCAAACCTCCCACACACACCAAGCACATACATAACAACAGTTGCTCCATTCAATTAGCACTTGATGAAGATTTTTTACATCTCGTCTTCTTCTTTACCATTCTTCCTATCAACACAAACTTGCAACTGATCATTTTCATCTGACTCTGAGCAGAAAGAATTGAAATTCTCCCGAGTAGCATTCTGTAAATAACAGGTTTTTCAGGGATTGACGATGTAGGAATGCCGCAACAATCTAACTGCGAACCCAGTGAGAAGTGATGGGTTCTTAGCTTTCCCTACCCAAAATGGATATGGGTAATACAGAAACTCAAAAAATATATACAAAGGACTGTTGACAATAACCAATCTTCTAACAGATTCGTAAACAACAACAGAAAATTTGAAATCCCAGGATTATCTATAATGAACGAGTTCCCCCAACAGGAATTACGTTCACCTAATTGTGCTGTTAGTTTACCCGCAACTAAACCCATTCAGTAACGTTCGACGGTCTGTGAACGAACGTTCCTCCAAAAGTTTTGATAAATCCTTGATGCACTAGCGATTCCTACAAACTATACTGTAGTCTGAGTCTCGTCTTACCCAGCCGCGATTGATAAGAAAATGAATGTGATAACAAACAGACATTGAATTCCTTAATATCCTACCCATTAGTTCATTATTTCATTCAAGCTCATCTTAATTATCTTTCAGTACCCGAAATGGAACAGTTCGCAGGACGCTGGAAGCAAGTAAAACAGGAGAACTTCGAAGATTATCTCAAGGTGCGCTTTATTCAAAGAAACATGTGAGAATCTACAATTCCTTAGGCTTCGGGTGTTAATTTGTTGCTTCGCAAAGTTGCATCCACCTCTAACCCATCCATTGAGTTCAAAAAAAACGATGATGGCTCATGGACATTCTATTTCTATTCGACTGTGAAAAACGGAAAATTCCGTTTCCAATTGGGAGAAGTAAGAAGACAGCTTATGTGAGTATTGAATGGCTTTTAGGAAACTGAGGAGATAACCCCTGATGGAAGAAAGTTCAAGTCAACAATCACAGTGGAGAACGGAAAGTTAATTCATAAACAAAAAGCTTATACAGTTAGTTTGTCCATGATCCTCTCGCTTAAACAGTTATCATATTCAGTCCGGAACAAAGGATTCCTACATTGAACGATGGGTCGACGGAGAAAAACTCTATACAACTGCAGAGTGTGATGGAGTGTTATCGAAATACGAGGATGTTCGCGCGTAATACAGGCTATTAGTTATAAATAAAAGAATAAATATGTTAGTCATTATTAGGAGAATTTCTACCAACATTATGAAGTGATTTGCTTCGCCCTTTGACTCCACCATCTGTTATCTGTAACGAGGGAGACGAATGAACAGTTCGTAATACATTCATTACCTTCCGCGAAGCGTTATAATCAATTTGCTGCTTGTAAAACATACAATTCCTTAGCATTTCTATACAATTTTCAAAATGAGGGGAAGCTTGTTTCATCCCATCAATCGTCCTGAACGAAACTTTTGACATTAATTTATCAACCAAAACTACTTCAGAGCGTTCTCCAAATCGAACTGAGCACCAGAAAGCGTCGAACTATCTTGCGTGAGGACAATCTTTCTTTTCACTAACCCCGGCATACTCCGACCAATGTGTTCTTAAAATTACAATTTTGATCTTTATCAGAGGATGAACTAAACCTTGTAATCGGTATAGAGCTAAGGAAGGATCGTGATCTAGGACTCTGATTCCATCCGTTACTCTCTCAGCCACTGAATATAAGAAGTTAAGTGACCTCAAAAAACAAGAACCGTACAAAGTCTACTTCGACTCTCCATTTCCTTGGTCTTCGCCGAAATCATTTCTAAAACAATAAAATAATTTCAAAAATCGCAACAATCAGTTGGTATAAATAATGTACGAAACATCTGATCACGAGAAAAACGACTGAGATATGATTTCATCAACAAGATTAACAAATAAAACAATGATTACAATTACAAATCTACACTTCTAATCTATAATTAAGCTTTAAGAGCGGCTGCGCGTTCTTCCATAATTTCTTTGTTCTCATTGGCTTTCTTCTCCCATTTCAAACGGTTCTCAAAGAAAAACATTCTTTCTTCTTCATTCTCGAGCTCTTTCAACTCTTTCGTAATTTCTTCAGCACGAATCTGAAATTTTTGTTTCCTAAGAACTATGAAATCATTATAGAACCTTAAGTAGAACTTTTTCTGCTTGAGCTCTAACCAATTGATTACGCCTATCATTCCAAGCAGTAAACTCGTTCTTCTGTTGCAATCCGAGGGTTTCTTCCTCCTTCTGTTTGATCTGAACATCAAATTACGAATTCGAAAACTGTGCTGTTGTCTATACCGTTTCCAAAGCCTCTAATACTAAGCTGCTCAATGTAGTTTCATTCGTTTCACATCCTTCCAATTTCTTAAGAATCTCCTCATGTTGAGGTAAGATTTCCGCTCCCTCTGCTGGAGTGAATCGTTGTCGTACAAACTCAGCCACATTTCCTTGAATAGACGTTGACGCCAATGCTCCCGCAACATCCAATCTGGATAACATGTCAACGTTTGTTGTACAAGAATTTTCACAAACTGATTATATAAAACAGCTCCCAAAAACCTAAGCGAGTTTTTGATCTCGGTTGTCAACGTTTTCGAATCTCGCGCTAGCCACAATAAAGTTTTACCAGCAAGATGGGAAGGATCAACCAAGTCAAAGTGCGAATCAAAATGCGGATTCTTCAAGAAAGGGAATCGGAAAGTTTTCTGTAGAACTTTCGTAATTATAATAAACATCATGCACAACCATATCATCTTCTCCATATTCTATTTCTTCCTTTTCTGGGATAGGCATAGTTTGTTGATCCACAGGCAATTCCGCCCACTTTGCACAAGCGTACAACCCTATTATGAACACAACAATAAACATGAAGAAAATATGTGTACAAACCTAATAAATTTAGTAACTCGTTTTCAGTCATTTCCTGCTGCATGACCCATGCAGATAGATATGCGGCTCCTTGGACATTATCCCGCTTTAGGAAGTGATCAAGAGCAAGACAAGCAGAGTGTTCGTTAAGGAATATTCCATAATTTATCTGAAATTCACAGAAATTCAGATTCGGATGGAAGAGAGTTTTAGAATAACCGCATGCGGTTAAAAAGGACTTGAAAGTAAACGAGTTAACGCATCTCCCTCTAAAAAGAAACCTAACACGTACTGGATCGTCCACGAGTTTGAAAATGAGCTCAGGCTCGTGCTTCAACAATAATCGAATCAAAGCATACTCTCCGGAAGCAGGAAGATCTGCTGCGTTCTCACTGTGTCGCAATTTATACACAAGCTCTATGACATCATCAACCTTAAGTGATCAATTAAAAAAAGGTGAAACTTGGATTACATACTTGATCTCTGTGTTGAGCTACGCATAGTGCAGCATCAACGTCAACGGCACTACAAATTATACATATTAACGTCAATTTAACCTTTTACACCTCGCTGTTCCACCGCCAATAAATTTTTTTTGGACCGCACTTATCCATTCGTAATCACCACCCAAACCCAGCTTGTGCAACTCTCCATGTCTAGCGCTCCATTCCTTTTCTAAAGAGAAGCCAGCAGACAAAACAGTTCTTCTTGATATCCGGAACAGTCCGCGACTTGCGATTAGTTTGGATGAGATCATCTTAACCAATCAATTTACAAACAATATCAGACAGCGAAAATATGCTCTGTTTCGGAACAGAATGATAGATCAATAACCAGATAGAGTTCGAAATTTTTAATTAAACCTATTTTAGTTATTCACGCTTTTTCATTAATTTTTTTGTTTGTAAACGATGATACCCGTCATTACACTTCTTATAGTAAAACCTAAAACAGCACTGTTCACAACACTGGAGAAGCAGGAAAGAATGAACCTGCTGAAACCTTCCGGAATGGGACATGAGTGTATTGAGATCAAATGTCTAGTCAAATGATGACCCGTCGAATATTTTTTATCACAAATATGACATAAATAGTTCTTCTCTGGCAAATTCTAAACAAAATTAAGCTTAAATACAATCTATTTGTCCACCTCGTGTTTTGCAATATGGCGGGTGAGCTGAAGTTTCCAACGAAACATTTCTCCGCAATAAGAGCATTTGAGCTGAGGAGGTAAATGAATACTTTTGTGTTTCTGAAGAGTCTCCTGAACAAAAATAATTAGATCAGAACTATTAGACAGTAACCTCAGTGAAAAAAGTCGCCGAACACTCATTACATGCGAAGGATCGTTCTCTAGTGGAATGTTTAGAAACCATGTGTCTGTAATTGAATAGATAGAGCAAAACTTTTCGTAACTCTATAACTTCTCTAAATCACTGCTTGCTGGTAAAGCTAACCCGCACTCCCTACATTGAACTACATTGATATGACGCCTTACATGATGAGATAAAAGAGTTTCGTCGGGGAAGCATTTTTGACACAACATGCAAACCTGGAAACGGATGTAAAATGAACGGGAGAAAAAGAAATGACATACAAACGGCTTCTGATCGACAGGTAAATTCCGTTTCATGTGCTCATAAAACTTTTCAGGTCTGCCGAAAAACGAGCCGCAATACGGACAAGCGCAGTACTTCTCCCCGCTGTGGTACCGTACATGTCGTCTGAAATATTGTAGAATGTTAATACAGTATTTAGTTTTTCATACCTCAAATCTCCCTTTCTTGCGCCACAAGCTTTCGAACAATTATTCCATTTACAGACAAATTTTCCGTTTTGCCGTTCTTTAGATTCTGCAAAGTCTATGTGAACAGTCACATGATTGAAGAAATCGCAAATATCTCGGAAACCAAGCTAGAAAAAGGATTAAAAGCAGAAGATTCAAGAGGAAGCTTACGCCACAACCATCATAACTGCAGAATGTTAGTTCGTCGATTACACCGACGTTGAGATTGGGAGTATAGCCGCACCTAATATGTTTTTTCTTCTTCATAGCAATAGTTCAAAACGCACGAATTTACTGGCAAACTTTGACTGTTAATTAGATTTTTCATACCATTGAACTGAGAAATTGCATGATACTTATGCATGCTTAAATGAGCTCTAAAAATTGGAAAATAAAGAATAAAAGGAAATGTGGAATTACAGAAACTTTGAAGCGTTCTCCATTACACTGCCACAACCTACAACCTGGCACGGCCAGTGATTAGCTGAAGAAGGAAGCTATAGCTAGTAAACTTAGAAAAGTCCTACAATTCCTATTGTCGGAGCAGTAATAATCAAAATGAGTTGCTATGTGTATAGCGAACTCCTCTTTGCCACATAAAGCATGAAAACAATTTCTCCACATACAAACAAACAAAATGTTCCCTAGAAACTCTTATATTGAAACAATGAAAATGTAATACAAACTCTGATCATCAAGATTAACCCAAGACGAGAAAGGAACTTCTAAAGTAGGAGTGACTTCAGCGCTGAAATCCTGAGGAGAAGCACAGGGCAATGAAGTAGAATCAGTCAAGGAATCTGAAGAAATAGGTTAGTGGCTAACAAGAAGGAAAAACTCACTACTTTCATCATCTACTTTTCCAACTACAGTTTGATAATTAGAGAAATCAGAGAAGTTTCTTATTTCATGACAAATAGTCAATGTGTTTATATTCATTTGACAATCTTGAAAATAAAAGGGATCGAGCAGAAGAGATCAAGAGAAGAATATACTGAAAAGGTCATAACCTAACCTCTATTAATCCATCAGAACTTTGAAAATAAGTTTATTAAAAACATCGATTTGAATATAGACAAAGAAAGAAAGACTTGTAAGGATACACTATATGGATTAACAAAGCTTAATCATTAACCTGTAAATGTTTGATACCCAAAGAGATCAGCCAGTTCTATTCTGGACATTTCCACTCGTTTTTTAGTTAATTAGTCTTATTAAAATATGCGAAAATAAGAAATTATGAACAGTATGATGACAGTTGAATATATTACAGATATTATATGTATTTTCTAGGTTTTCTCACTCTACCCCGTTGGCTCACCGACTCAGCCATCATTCCGTTGCCTTCATCCTCATAACTTTCTGAAAAATTTACGGAACGCCCTTCTCTATTCGACAAAGATTTTCTACTTCGATTATTCTCTGCATCACCATCAGCATGCGTATTCACTCTGCGCCGTCTACAAGAAAAGTATATAGCTGATTAACCGAGATCGCAACTTACTTCGCACTTAAGGGAATTGATTCTCTATCGGATGATTCTCTTCGGTTCCTTTTACTGGAACTAGCTTGATGCTTGTTCTCATCATTATTTGACGATTGCTCTTCTTCATCTAAGTCGTCGTCCTCGTCATCGTTACTCGAATCAGCTCCGTTGTCAGCATTATCGTCATCGTCGTCATCATCATCATCGTTCTCATCTTCATCACTATCTTCCCCTCGCCTAACGCCTTTTTCATTCTCCTCCATGTCCTCATCACTCCCACTGCTACTATTGCTACTGGAATCAGAACTTTCTTCATTGTGCTCTTCTTTCTCTTCATCGTCAACAAAGCTTTGATCCACATCAGCAGTTTCGTTGTCGAAAGAATGAGAAACGAGATCATCCTATGAATTGCATTTTTCAAACATTAACGTCTTTACACTATACCATAGGAGCAGTGCGTCTTCTTCTATCCCGGGAACCCCTTGACGACTCTTCTTCAAAAAAATCTTCATCGTCTTCATCGTAAGCTATAAGTAACTCCTAAATCCCCTATATAACTCTATTATACTCACCAATGTTAGAACCTCCTCTTCTACTGCTTCTTGTTGCTGAAAATATCTTTTTTTCCAAATCTATAATGTTTAAACTCACTTCGTTGACTGTTCCTTGTCCTAACTGGGGGTGATTCAGCGCCTCTCGGTATTCGACCATTGGCGAGCTCCCGATAGAAGCCCTCAGTTGTGCTTCTGTTTTCAAAGTTCCTTCTGAACAAATTCAGTTAATTATTATTATCTCTATGAATCCGACCTCCGGGTGTTGTAGCTGGAACGTTTTTCTTTTTTTTGTCTTCGACGGAGAGATCTTCCACTGATAGTTTCATAAGTTAGAAGGAATTGATTAAACTGAGTTATGATAGGTTTCATTTTCTCTTCTGTTAAATGCATAAGTTGAACAGTGGAATGATAAATCTGAGCGAGTTTGTGAATGAAGGTATAATAAAATGAAAATTACCCTAGATCGGTTATCATTGATGGCATTTTGGCAAGCATCCACAAGTTCTTTAACTTTTTCAACAACGGATTGGGGATCAGGTAAGTTTTGAATGATTTGTCGTATTATCTGTAAATCTCCATTCTCTCTGAGAGCGGAAGCTACATCCTGAAAGATTTGGCTCTCAAGAAAAACAGAAAGAATATGTGTACCAAATCAGAGCACTGATCAGCAGAAAGAAAATGAGCGGCACATGGATGGGCCATGACGAAATCCATTGCAACCAATGCATCTCCAATCCAACCTGGCTCCCTGCTTTGGGAACTTGATTCCTCTTGATTCTGCATTTTGGTGGCTAGCTGAACCAACTCAGAGTCTAAAACCTTTTAGATTGATGTTGACGAAATGATACATACCAATGTTGTTTTTATGCCATTTCTTATACTCAGTAATCTGTTCAAATGGAAGATCGAACAAGCTGTCGAATAAGGTATCCAACTGATCAGCAGAAATTGAGCGATCACTTAGTAGAATTGAAATAATATGATCATATGACAACACTTACTTAGAAAACATTATGAGAGTTTCAACAAGGATTCTCGAGTTCTGTACAATAATACTATCGGGTTCGTTGAATTGCTCAGCGGCAAGTGCGATAAATCGAATATCATGTTGTAAAGAAATTAACCTCCTTCAAACAAATTGAAGTGATTCTAAGAACAGTGGAAAAGCCCAACCTGTACCACTTGTTTCTCAACCTTTCGGATATTGTTTGCATATCAATACAATAGTCCACAATATTGGAATATAGAGGGAAATCTGCCAAGTTCACTGGCGTGCTGAATGGCGTTACTATCTCATTGGCACTCAACTTGTCGATACCCTCCGCCATTCTTTGACAAAACGCCTAGAAAAAAATCTTAAGAAACTCCAATGTCATGCTATTACATCTCTATTAGTAATAGGACTATCATCACCCGGCCAACACCCTTGCGTTGGGACCGTCTCTCCACAACTAATAATTTCAGCAGGAGTAGCTTCAGTATCTGAAAAATTATGCATAACGGAGTACTACCTGATCGACATACTTGATCGTCTTCCAGAAGTTTTCTTTTGACAATCCCAAGGACTGATAGTATCATCTTCACCATTATCCCATCGAATATTCAAGCAGTACCAATGTGACGTTGGGAAGGCCTCATCGTGCGGTTGTCGCCTTGTAACGGTTCCTGTCCACCATTGACCATCAAGGATAGATTCGATTTCATCTCCATCTCTCAAATTCAGCCTAACAGAAGCATCATAATGTGCTTTGAGAATAATGAAATCGGGGCTGTTGTCCAGATCGTGCATTCTGCAGAAAAATGTTTCTAAGCAAACTCGTAATGAACTAACTTGACTGTAAAACGGTAGCCTGTCAGATCTCCATTCGGGTTGGTTTGTGCTAATCGAATTACGCAGAGTCGGTATGGTTTTCTCGTATAGCGAACATCTTCCACAACACAGAACTCTTCCGCTGCCAACTGGGTCCTGAAATTGAGAAGTATAAATCAATTCTACTCTCTCTTTTCCATACGGTGGGTGCATCTTTGTGGATATTGGGAAAAGAAGAGCTTGTTCAACCATTTCTAAATATCTCTCGTGACCCTGCTTGCAGTACACAACGTTATCTCCAAGTTGAACAATATAAGGGAAACGTCGAACCGTTACGGTTCTCATACTCTCGGGGAAATATTGCAGGAATCCCTCTGAACAAATTTCGATTACAGAATGTTTGTTTCTAGCTTACCCTTCCTCTTTCTTTTTTTACGAGGTGTTTCAACGGATGGGCCTTCAGCAGGTTCTTCATCAGTCCTATCATTGTCCGCTGCCTCATCAACCTCAGACGAAGAAGACTCATCACCATTCTATAATATCATCATAGAAAAATGAAAGAATCCGTATGACTAACCCCTCTTCTTCTCCGAGCAATCACTCTTGTAGGTCCAGATGAAGAAGACTCTTCGTTGGCTAAGTTTCTTCTTTGCACCCTTCGTCCCGAAGAAGTTACAACATCATTCGCTTGTGGAGAAGCCTTAACTTGAACAGTAAAAAAATATTTATTAAAAAACAAGCCTGTGTTGGTTCCTCTCTACGAGGTTGGTCTCCTCCATCGTAATCTGAGTCGGAAGTGTCACTGGAAGCTTCTGATTCATCTTCCGAAAATCCGTGAGCACTAAAACGATAATTGAATGTGTCAGCATAACAAATTTACCTGTAATCATCATCTTCTTCACTCCTATAACCCTGTAAAGAGTTAGCTGCTCTAGCGGCATCTTGGGCCGCAATTACAGCATCAAGAGAAGGAATCGCACGCCGAGACTGTGCAGCTTTCCTACCCATGTTATCTGAAGAGATATTTCATAACCTTTCCTGCAGAGAAGACACGTACTTTGTAACACTGTAACATCAACGTCTTCGGGCTTGTAATTAGAAAACTTTTTTTCCTCCTGTACACTCTCTAAGAGATGTGTTTCTTGAGCGTATAACTCAAGCATTTTCTGGAATACAAGAATTACAGCAATGAACTTTATAAAAAAGGATACCGAAGCCCAAAAATCACTAGGTCCTTGACCGAGCTTCGGTATTATATCTCGATCTAGCCAAGCACATCTCATGTTTTCAAGATCTTTCTGTAATGTGACGCGATTAGACTGATATGCGATAAAAATTAAACTTCTTTTCCAGGAACTCTTCTTTGCCACTTAGCATCAAGCGTGTCTCTATCCAGACTCATAATCAATGGTGGTCTTTGAAGATGTGGTGCCATCCCCGACATAACATCTAATGCATAGCCATGCTCATCGTAATCGAGCTCACTGAAAGAGATAATAATAATGAAATACTGATAACATCTAATTTACTCATAATCTGTGTGGAAAAACTGCTCTCTTGGAGCCAGGTGAGAATCATTAGTTCCTAGAGCATAAATAGTTATTCGTCCTACATCATCAACTGTAGCTATTCTTGTCCCTTCGGGATTAACAGCAACATCGAGAATTGAAGCAATAGTGAATGTGCCTTCTGGAGTATCACTGGTAAACTTTTTAAGAAGCTGTCCTTTCACAATATCCCAAATCTAAACGACGAAAGCTTAGGGAATTTAAAGATAGAAACTTACTAAAAGTAATCCATCGTGAGCAGAAGAAATTAAAATATTAGGATGTAATGGATGAGTCCTCAAGTGGAAAGCCTCTCCTCTATGTCCATTCAACCGATGCTTTTCAATACCTGTGTATGCGTCATAAACCCTCACTATAAAGAAACAAATGAGGAACAACGATAGTCTTCGAACAAACATTTATGATCTGATCCTGAGGATATTACATATCGATCATCTAGAGACCAGCAAATCATAGTAAACTGAAATGATAACAGCAACTTCAGAGTAAAAGTACAACAACTAACGGTATATTTCAGCTTTGTAGATGCGAATAAAGCCAAAGAATCAGCATCAGGTCTAAAAACGAAAGTAAAACTGAGCGTAATTGGAAACTTACAGTTTTGGTTCTAAGTTCAAATATTTCCATTCTCCACCGGTAAAGCGCCAGACTCGCGCTATATGATATCGGCTACTACTAGATACGAACGCCATACCGTCGTGACACCACTCCAAGCTATCCAATCGTTCGTTATGCTGAACTCGTATTGCGTGCAATTACATAAATGTACAAAGAACTTACAGGAATAGCATTAATGACACGCAAAAGAGAAATGTTAGCTTCTTCTATACAAAATAATCTCAAACAGCCCTGAAGATACAGCTTTAAATGAATAATATTAGATGAGTACCTGAGAATCACCGACTGCAACAAATTTACCACTAGGACTGAAAGTGCTTGAAAGACATCTCTGTCCTGAGGCGTCGCGAACGTTGAAAATGGTTGGTGTAGACCTAAATTTGAGCAATATGATGAAAACGAGAAAAATATGAAAGAATACTTAAACTCTCTGGTATCTGCATTGAACTCATAGAATATCACGTTGCAATCGTAACCGATAGAAAACAAAAACCTCACGGATTTGTAAACATAAGGCAGAAAACGAATGCCAGTAATTAGTGCGGAATGATGGTGGAAAGCTTCAACGCAAGCTCCGTTTTGTAGAGACCAGACACTGAATGAAATGATAAAATCTGAGTAGAAAAAAAACAAACTAACCGAACATATTTATCCGCTCCACCAGAGGCCATGAATTGGTTACAATAAGAAATGGACATATCGGAGATTAAACTCATATGTCCTCTGAACGTATACCTCAACAGAGCCGTATTTACATCCCAAACTTTAACAATACAATCATCAGCTGCCTGAATATGTTCAAATAAGAGAATAGAATCAAAATAAGGAGTTTACAGTTAAAGCATATCGTCCAGTTTGGTCAAAATGCACCGTGTAAGTTCTATCGATATGTCCAGTCACCCGAGAATGCCTTTGTAGTCCATTTTCAAAGTAATCAGCAGAATAGACCTGGTGAACGGGAATTTGTAAGCCCAATTCACGGGTACTTAGTGAGCTAAAATATATAGTAAATAGAAACATATTTCTGTTGCAGTCATGAACAAACTTGAACAAGCTTCGTTGAGGTAAATTCTTTCTAAACTGCGCTTGACCGCGTGTAACATGAAATAGACTATCTGGAGAAATAGTTATTAAGAATCGGAATGAGAAAATAAAAATTACTATTAGACTTTACAGAAAAAGGATTGAGGCCCTGTGATTGCATACGATCTACTAACTCATTTATCGTTGTTTTTGGGTTATGGTTGTGATTATTAGCCAACTATAACGATATCGCATAACAAGAGCATAGATGGAAGAAACTAACATATTGTTGAAAAGTTTGTCTATGAGCATTTCCATTTATATCATACCTCTTTGGAACAAGCTGAAAGAGAAGAAATAAAGTTCGCATCATAACACTCAGAATAACCCCTAGTCTGTTAATTTCTTTTTCAACGAGTAAAGCTAGATGCTTCGAAGGTCCATTTATAAATGAGTTGTACTGAATCAGATAAGATTCTGAAAAAAAAGATTAGCATTGCAAAGAAATAATTCATTACCGAACAACGACCTATTATCCATCAATGCACTAGTTGATGGCAGTGAAACATGGCTCATGCTCTAATAAGTTTTATTAAACTAAACTTCTTTAGATAAATTCAAGTGCACACATTCATATATATATATATATATTGATGGAATATAACCAGCAACTGAAGACACATATAAAATCTTTATAACTTTTATATCTATTGAGTTCAACTATTTTCCACATACACACCGGTAAAGAAATTGATGATTCAATATTAAGAAGACAATACATTAGAAACATTTCACAAATACATACGGCGCTATCCAACCCTCTATTGGTTGCAAAATCTTAAAAAAAGGAAAAAAGGAATGTGACTGAACCCAGCAGCTTTCACCGGCTACCTCAGAACCAATCACAAAAAATAAAACAGCGGTAGAGTTTTCTTCAATTATCCCTTTGCAGATTTGTCTCATTTCGAACTACGGTTTAAAAAGTGGCTCCTTCAGATGGTTGTGGCAATTTCATATTTTCTTTGGCAAGCATCATGTTCTTTCTGATATCCTCCAGAACTGATTTGATCATGTAACTGGAATTCCATTGACGTAAGGAAGCCAAATTTTTCTTCTCAATCTTCAAAGAATATTCTAAAGTTATTTATGAGAATTACGGTTTACCACTCCTGTCGTCTGGTTAACTCCATTCATATGAATTTTAGTTGTGAAACGAACATTGGGGGCTTCTCTGGGATAGCTAGGTCCACACTCAATACGAAGGTTGTAAATTCGAGATTCGAACGGAGTCTTAACGTATGTGGTGAACAAGAAGAAAAAGTTTACTTACTCTAGGAGGTCCAATAATGGTTCCAGTCCATCTAGTCAAAGTCATGTCTGAATCATCCTCCAATCCCCACGAAATATTTCCGTCACCCTTGCCTTTCTGGCCATCTTCTAACTCTTCAAGAAGGCGAAAGTTTCTGGGAACATCAACTGAAAAATATTTCATGTATCCAGAATCACGAAAATGATCTACTTACCCATAGCTCGTGGTTGAAAAAGCTAGGCTTGAAAGGAAATAAACCTAAACAGCACCATGTGAGATATGCCATGCACAGAAAACGAACATTATATGAGAAATTAAACATTCAAAACTATAGTTTTCAACAGTTTTTATACTTTGAATCGAAATGCTTTCTGAATTGTATAAAGCCCTGAATTGATCTTAAGGACTCAATAATTTCGCCCGCGAACCGCAAGAGCGCGTCGCTTGGCAAAAGAGCGCACTTCCGTGTTTCAACCTTGTACACTTTGAACAAATCAGACTAATTGATTTACAACAATCACGTGCAGTTCCTGATGAATAAATTGACCACGGTATATTTAAATCATTCGGAATTTGAATACAACTACTTACAGATGAGAGCAGCTGTAATTAACAAATTCGGACCGGCAGAGAATATTGAGATATGTAGCAACGTTGCTATCCCAAAAATCACAGAACCGAACCAAGTATGGGGAATTAAGTCGAATCGTTAAGTTTTTGCTTAGATTCTGATAAAAGTCGAAGCAAGTGGTGTTAACCCAGTGGACACCTACATCAGATCGGGCAACTATAATAAGCTTCCTCAACTACCTTATACTCCTGGAAGAGATGGAGCTGGAGTCGTAAACCAGGTCGGAAGTGCAGTGACCAAAGTTAGACCAGGAGATCGCGTTTGGTTCACACTGCCCACCACTGGTTCCGCAGCAGAGTATGCTCTTACGTCCAGTAATGTTTTTTGTTTACCTGATTGTACGAATTGAAAATGGATACAAATTCGCATGATAAAAAAATCACAGGTCTCACGTTTGCGGAGGGTTCTCGCTTAGGAATCCCGTTCATGACGGCCTATAGAGCGCTGGTATTACGTGGTCAAGCTAAGGCAAGAAAATCTTGACTTGGTTTTAAAAACACTCATATAGAAAGGAGACAAAATTCTCATCCATGGTGCATCAGGATCTGTTGGAGTAGCCGCAGTGCAATTAGCCAATATGTATGGCATGATTGTGGTGGGAACGGCTGGGTCAGGAGATGGCCTAAACTTAGTTAAAAAACTAGGAGCCCAAAATGTTTTCAACCATCGGAGTGGAAGTTACGTAAATGAGATTAAAGAAAAATATCCTGAAGGTTCACAATATTTCTTCCTTGTTTCTTGAAACTCGATTCAGGGTTCGATCTAATATTGGAAATGGCTGCACACATTAACTTGTCCCACGACTTAGGGTTATTGAAGAAAAATGGAAGAATAGGCGTTATCGGTTGCCGAGGTGATGTCAATATAAGTCCTAGGCAACTGATGTCGTCAGAGACAACGATATTTGGTAAAAAAAAAATTCAAATATGAAACATTAACTCTTCACAGGAGTGATGTTGGGCCATTCAACGCCAGAAGAATTTGAACAAATGGGTTTGGAAATCACAAGTCTATTGAATAGCGAATGTAAACCTCTAGTGAGCAGAGTATATGCCTTGGATGAGATATCAAAAGCCCATGAACATATCATAAACAACGATACTACTTTAGGTAGCATTACTCTTGAGCTACGATGAAAAACTTTATCATTTTAACAATCTTATAACATTTACTCCCAGTCACCATGTCCCCAGTTACGTTTACATTCATTGGACATAGATCGACCGTCATTAAACTGAAATAAATGTTTTTCTTGACCTAACAAATGAATGATTAACATTTCCAAACTGAGAATAATTGTTGATATCTCCCATTCCATTCGATCTAGTGTTATTCATGGCGGAAGTTCCACTAGTTAGAAGGTTTGGCATACTAGCGAGTAAACTCGAGAATCCATCTGACAAGCGAACTTCATCATAATATTCTACTAGTTACTACCTCCAGCGGAAGACACGCTATTCGAATTTCTCATAACCATGTTAATATTGTTATTATTATTAATATTATTAGTATTACTGTTGGGCATCATTCCACTTTCTGAAATAAATATGTCGACTGAGAATAAATAAGTAGAAACTGCCTTGATAGTTGAATTCCAACAATCGTTTCAGTAGCCATTCACGTTGTTGTTGTGTCATGCGTTGTAGAATATCATTGTGATTGAGTTCCATTTCCTTAAAGAAAATTATTCTCACCGATTCTTTCAGAATCTCTATACGTTTGATAATTGATTCCTAGATCCATAGTCTTCGAGACCATTGGAAACACATGGCATGGAACTCGGCATACTTCCATTAGACTATAAAACATTAAGAATTGTTCAGAATGAAAAGGAAGAATACTTTCATTGCTGCTTGTAACTGAATTCGTCTCATGACATCATGATCTGGGCGATTTCTATGACTTCCGAACCTGGTGATCGCAAAATCTTCAACGAGGTACGATTTATGATCCTTAGGAACAAAAACAAATTGCTTAATTGCTGCCTAGAATTTGTTTAGAATCATGATATAATATAAAAGATTTACCTGTTGTTTCAGGGGTGAATCTATGGCTGCAGGATGCATATTTTCTAGATGAAGTGGAATATAGGGATCTTCCACAACAGTAACTTAATGTAACAATAGAACTGAGACGTAGGCGAAGATAGAATACCTCCGTCACTGTACAACGCTCTAGAGCCCACGGCTGATTTACCAGATACCCCCATTCCGTTTTCTTTATCAAGGCCTTGCAAAGCAGAACATGGTAAGGTTCGATAACTAAAAGAAATGAAACATATCGATGTCAAGATCTACTTACTCTTCGTCGGAATTGACGGGGCCTATCCATATAACACATGGATTCGCCCTTTCACTACATTTGTAATAAACTTCACCAGGGTTGACATATAATAGAGTGTTGTCTATAATAGCTCTTGAAAACGTACGATGAAACAATTACCTGGCAAAAAAGATATCAGTTCGTCAGCATCAAGTCCCACTCCTTCTGCAGAAGAGATTATAAGTTGATCCGTAGATCCGTTTACTTTGATACGAATTATTCTTTCCCTTTCATCTGGAGCAATAAATAATTCAAACACTAGTCTTTCAAGATAACTTGATTTCGGTTCCTCAGTATCCCACAACTCAATGTAACGGCTTGCTAAGAAGTTAGCCAATTCTTGTGTGAAAAGACTAACCTAAACAACACTGAACAAATAAAATGCTTCCTGGACTAACCGAACGTCTTGGAAGCTGTCCGAGAACATGCTTTGAGATATAATTAACAGCTTCTTTGATTTCTGTATACATTTCTACCCCTCAACTTATAAGCTTCAGAACAAAAGCTACTGGATTTCTGAATCACATATGCAAATCTTCACTGCGCGGGCTTGCCATTTGAATTTGAGCGGGAGCTTTTCGTACTGGTAAAGTACAGCGTGATTTCATAATTTCTTAAGGACAGATCACAAGCACAATGTAGTAGTGGTACATGCCTATCATCAATTATGAATTGTAGACGTCTGCTCTGAAATGTTTACGGTACCTCATTGCACCAATTTTCTTTGAGCATCCTTCCAAGCTAAAACCTCGACTACATCCCTTATTAATTTACCATTCTTCAATTTTTCTCTGAATCTATTAATTAATACGTCATGGGAGCTGATGGAGGAACCATTCCTAAAAGATGTGAACTTGTTCAGAAGAAAAAAAAAGTAGAGAAAATTGATAAAGCCGTTAAAAATGCCACAAAATGGGAAAATTGTCAGTTGACTCAACAACCACTGAAGGTTTGCTTTGTTTTTATTATGAATATATTTGTCTTTTAAAGAAACCAATTATTGCTTGCCGTCTTGGACGTTTATTCAGCAAAGAAGCTGTGCTAGAGGCTATTCTGACAAAGACTATTAAGAACTTCGAAAGTGCATCACATATCCGTGGAATGAAGGTAAGCGATGTTTAATTTTTTTTTGTTTGATTTATTTTATCTTCATAATATTCATTTGAATAGTTGTTTTTCAATGTTTCCTTACGTGAATGTAAGATACTTTTTTCCATTGTTATTATAGGACTTCAAAGAGCTTAAACTCAGAGAGAACAAGGACTATAAAGCTGATAACCAAGGTGTTAAAGGAGATTCTTATCTCGATATCAATCAGGTTAGGTTAAAAGTGCTTTAGTTTCAACCTCCGTGTGTTCAGACAGAGTTTTTGTGCCCTATAACTTCTGTGCCTATGAATGGAAATTATAAATTCGTTGTGAACTGGAAATGTGGCTGCGTTTTTTCTGAAAAAGCTTTAGAAGAGGTATAATAGTCTAACCATGGTAGTTGTGACCAATGTTATTGAGGTTAAAACTGATACTTGTCATGGTTGCGGTGGACCGTGGGATGTTGAAGAATCCATCAAGTTGAATCCCGACGAAGAGACTTTGGAACTTTACAAGAAAAAGTTGGAGGAAGAAAGACTAAACAAGAAAAACAAGAAGAAAGATAATAAGGACGGTTGGTTTTACTTTGTATATTGAAAATGAATATCTTGATGTATTTTAGCAGACAAAAAGAAAGATGACAAGAAAGATGAAGGTTTGCTCTATTATAATTTTAATTTTAACATTCTTGACTTCAGATAAGAAGAAGGCTGAAAAGAGAAAGGCTGAGACTGAAATCCAAGCAGATCCTTCGAAGTCTGATGTTTATAAGAAACTTTTCACTACTTCCAAAGAAGCTATGAGCAAACCACAATCTCATTGGGTCACATACAACCCTCTTTATTATTGAATTTCCTGTGTTGTACATATTCAGTAACATAAACGTTCGCTAAATCATTTGTTCATGTGTTCTGTTTCGTTCGTACGATTCTTACTTCAAGTTTGAGAACAGTAAAGCACGAAAATCTTTTAGATGCTATCGGTTCCTCGGGTAGCGGTAAGGACGCTAGCTTACACCAGAGTTATGCGGCATGGTAATTACAAATCAGGGTTTCAATCAAGATCAATTTCGTCTAATGAAGTTTTCAATACATCAACAATACCTTCTACAGTGAGTTTGCTCTTCTATTATTCGAAATGTTGATGGATTCAGTCTTCTTTCGAAATTCCTTCTGCCCCTCTTCCTCCTGAAGCCGGTAGGACTATAGAAGAAATGATCGCTGTGAGTGCTTCTTCGTTTTTGTAATTTCATTTCAAAGTTCAGAGCGGAGAATCAGTGTTATCTGAATTAGGATTAATATCTTGGTGGAAACCTTCTAGTTATTTTAGAATGGCTCTTGAAGGAATTCATACTTCTGTTGATATGCCGTGGTGGGCCACCATTGTTTCAGGTTTTCGAAAAAGACTCTTCACTCAGGTTTATTATAAAATATTTTCAGCAACCATAGCTTTACGTTTGGCTTTGATTATAGTACCTGTAATGTCTCAACGATTAGTTGCGAAGCAGTCACAATATAAAACAGAGTTGAATGAGTTTAGAGAGCGAATGGAAGAAGCTAGAAAAGAAGGAAACAATATGCTACGTAAGATTAGATAGTTGTTTTTCATCCTCTCCATTCTTTTCATGTAGAGCAGCAAGTTTTCATGGAACAAAGAGACTTTTTACGTTCTAAAGATATTCGGTTGGGAAGACAATTTATGATTCTTCTGGCCAACGGAGGTGTTTTCGCCACTCAATTTTTCGCTATTAAAAAGATGATAGCTGTTTGTGCAGAACTGAATCTTATTTCTTAATCTTTGTTTCTCAGGTTAATTATCCAGGTTTATCAACAGGAGGAACTGCTTGGTTCACGGATTTAACTATGAGTGATCCTTACTATGCTCTGCCTTTCATTAGTGCTGCCACTATGGCTCTGGTTTCTCGGGTATCTTATCACTGGAACTAGCGACACTTATCATATCATTAGGTTGGTATTGAAATGGGAACTTCCGCTGACCAAATGACCCCTGCTATGAAGATAGGAATGCAATATGCTTTACCTGTTGTGATTTTTGCGGTCAGCTCCCAGTTTGCTTCCGTAAGTCTTAACAGATTTAATTATTGGGAAAGTTTCTGTTCTAGGGTCTTTGCGTTTATTGGTGCGCCTCTAACACAATATCTTTGGTATATGCAGGTGCTTTCAGAAATGAAGCTGTGAGAAAGTTAGTTTTGAACTGTATCACTTTATGCAATTGTTCTTCCTAGACTGTTCAAAATCCCTCCAGTTGTGAAACATGACACACCTAAGAAACAAGACGGAGCTTTTAAACAGATTATGGCGAATATGAAAGGTTGGTAGTATTCCTGTCTCAATTCCATATGCGTTTGTTTAAGCGAACAAAACCATTCCACCATCTATAGCACAGTTGCGCGAACAAGATGCACAACAATTCAAGAAGGCTGGCCGAGGAAAGCCAATAGTCAAATAATCAATGAATTACATAGTTTATATAGTGGTAAGTCGAACTAACATAGATTCTCCCCATAGATAGGTTTTGTTGTTTCTTTGTTGTTGTTTTTTTTCAATTTTGGAAATTGTACAGAATTATTACAATCAGTTTGATATTATTTTGATAAATTTGTTTAATTCTTATCTTTCTTCATATTATTATTGTTATATACATATAATAAGATGGAATTGTCCTCATAAATCGAATGTTGCGCCAAGTGGTGCTTCAGGTAGCACCATTGGATTACGATAATGCAAAGTTACACGTAGTTGGCTCATATCATAGGTTTAGCCTAGCTATAATCTATGGTTCTCTGCTGGTAATAAATAATACATATATACACGATTCACCTCTCAAACTTCTCGGAATCTGTGAAATATTTTCACAACTCAACATGTAACTGATCTTCGCCCGATTTTAAGAAGAATTAGCCCGTAAGGACTTGCTCGGTCAATATTGATAATGGCCTCAGCTTTTCTACTGATCACACTCCCACTTTTCTCACAATTCAATAACAGAATTTTAATCCCATTATTTTCGTGTGTTGATTTTCAAGTTCTAATACAAACTTTAATTGAAATATTCCTTCGCATTGCATTCTGCTTCCATCTGTACTTACGCAATGGCAACAATCTTACGATCTTCAACTTACCAAGCTCTTTACAGTTTGGCTGTGCTCTCTCGGTCGTATTTGTCTCGTTTCGTTATCAGTATATATGAGTTTTTCCTGTGCCAGTATTCTCTCTGTCCTTACATGCAAGCATCTAGTCATTTCTTTTCGTCTGCAAAGTGTGTGTTATGTAGTTTTTTTTTATTTAACGAGCAAAAGTAACCGCATCAAACTAGCCATGACGTAAAAATGATCAAAGCTTGACTCGCGCCACGTGTCCAGGCAGGCGCCTAATTTGAATATTAATAAGCTACAGCCGGCACTTTGTTCAGAACTGCAGCTTGACAATGGTGCTCATGTCTATCTAAAACGAACAAAGAAATAAGAAGAAATTTTTTTTTGACTGAATAAAACACCAATAACTTCCATGCAGTAGCACTAAAATTTGTTTGTCATGCTTAAATCTGATTTCAGAACTCTAACAAAGCTTGCTAGTTTAGATGCCGCATTTTCCACACATATTCACTATAACATGAGCTACACAATCTTCCATTTCAACTTTTCTTGCTCTGAAAGTTAATTTGAATTTGGAATGATTGTGTTGACAAAACTAAAATTATTTTGTCACAAACAGCTTTTTTGTACGATATCTTGTAACAAATCAATCCATAACGGACCATGATAGTTGCGAGAGTTTTTGAGAAGATTTCATCTCATTCATATTGTTCTCGGCATGAAACCGCTACCATTATACTTCCATATATGACGACTTGCATATCAGTAGAATCATGAATGAATAGGATTTCATGTCCTCATGTAAATTGTGTCTATTCAACTACTTGTACTCATTCATAATTCTTTTCATTCGTCAGAAATTTGTAAACAGTGGTAGGTATTTCACTTTCTCGCCCTATCTTCTCGCTTACTCCAACCATAGCTGCGTTCTACAATTATTTCCTGGAAAAGTATAGTTTACTTTGATACAAACCCAAATGATCAAACATGTTAGCGCTCACTTCCAGTTTCTCTTTTTTTTCCATTTTATTACCTAACCAGCTCCAGTTTGCTACAATAACGATCTATATTTATATATGAATGTGCTATACATATGTATCCCCTGTGTGCGCCAGCCTTCTGCCAAATACAGTGAACGCCGGTGAGATTAAGACTCGATCGTCAGCCTTCCATTCGGCTACTCTCAAGTTACTATCTCTATCTACGGTCTTCTTATAATGAGAGAGTGAGCCCCTCGTGCAAATACTAGGAGATATAGAGAGGAGTGGAGAAAATACAAAAGATGATGGGAACGATGAAATAACAGAACCAACCATTTAAGGCGGAGGGATAGTGGGTAAGTAAGGTCTCAACCATTTTTTTCTCTCTGACTCTCTCATGCACTCCTGGAATTGATTTTGTCTCGCTTGGCTGGTCTGACCTTTACTTTGGCCTCTTGCGACTGTATGGTCTATCTGTCTGTATAGGTGTGCTTATGTATGTATGTCTCACTATCTTTTCTCCCTCTCACTTTTTACGTTACTTTCTCTCTATCTCTCACTCTATAAATGTATGCCTTTATATCGATCGATGACTGTCGTCCACCTGCTATAAGGCTGTCTGCTGGGCTGGTTGGTTGACTTCTCATACTGCCCGCTGGACGACCTTTCTCTTTTTCGTTTTCCTACTCTTTCTTTTATGCTGATACCACATCGTTGTCTTCGTCGTTTCCTTCATCAACATAATCATCAACAGCGTCGTCGTCATCATCGTCATCAATATGACCATCACCATCTTTCTCTGTGGTCGCACCTCGATTTGCCTTCCTCCATGTTGTCTTCCATCACATAAGCGTTCCTTTCAATATATACTGCCGTCTCGCATATAGTAATTCGAATTGTTTGATTTTTTTTGAAAAAAATGTCTTGTTGTGTTATTACCGATCGAGCATACTACATTTCGACACAATCATTTGAGATTCCAAGTCTTCATCTGGACTTGGTATGATTCATTTTCATTTATCAACATTACAATATCACAGAGAAAGGTTCAATCATAATCATCTATCTATGTATGGTCATTTCATGCTCCTCATTTACTTTTTTCATTTAATTGGTGAAGGCTGTAATTCTCTTAAACTTCCATTACGTTTTATTGCCTGCCCACGGCCTTCCTCACTCCATATTTACATACATTCAAACAACAAATCGTAGTTACTTCCGAATAGAAACTTCAAAAAATAATTTGCCTCCCCTGCTTGTGTCTTTTTTTGTGTCGTTATTGATTCTTCGTTATCGGCAGCTTAATTAGTTTGGGAAATATCTCTCTTCTGCCTTCAAACACTTTTATGTTTGTCGTTTTGTTGATAATTTGTCTCAAATTCACATTTTTCCATTTCTTTTGTGTCAACTTGTTTTGCTTCATGATATTAAGCATTAAGCATCCATTGACTAGCTAAATCATTGTTAACTCAGTTCAAAACGTTTAATTCTCAATGCCAATGGCTTCTTAAGCCACATACTGCTGTCGGCTTCTTCATTCAAAAGTGAATTCTTCATATGCTTTTATATTTTGATTTTACTCCTTCTCCTCCCCCTCAAATGTGTTGCTCAAAAAACAGGTCGATGGTTGTTTATCTCCAGGCTTTTTTCTTTTTTTTTGTTACCCTTTTTGGTTCCACTACGAAGACAAACATCATCAACTGACTTATTATTTCAAAGTCAAGTATTTATCAACTGAATTTCTTTGTTTTATTATTTATCTGACTGCTCAACCTTTTTATCAGTCAAATTCGAAACGCTTGTCATTCGAATCGTCATCCAGTTGGATGTAGAAGGATGGCGAGAGAAGACGTTTTATCAATTTATTATTTCCCATATATGTCCCTACTAATGTTCTTTCGTTTTCTCAGTCAGCTTAATGAAATTCGGCTTAACTACTCCTCTCTTCAAGTGTTAATTTGCGTCCAACTTTTTATCATCGGCTATGCTTTTCACAGCCCATTCTACAATCTTTTCTTCTTTTACTTCCATTCATTTATCTTTTCTGGTGTTTCTAGCCTTTTGTTATTTTTGTTCAACTCTTCTCCTTTACTTCATTCCTCTAATTTTCTCTTTTTTCCCTTCCACTTCTTCATCTTCTTTCCTCCTTTGCCTACTTCGTCTTCTTCTATTTCTTCGTCTAGCTACCAATCGCTTCCCTTTTTAATTAGTTATTCCTACTCATTTCGCTTTTATGCCATTTCTTCTCATATTTATTCTTATTGTATATTCTATTGAAGATATATATGGATATGCTCTTTGATTTGAGAACAAAATCTTTATTTATCTGCACCTAGCAGTATCTTCGCTAAGAATATCTTGAAAAGTAAACTTGCTCAAAGCCTTTGGCGTACTTTTCACACCCTCCATCAATAATGCTCAATACCCATTTTTGGATTTTTTTCTTGTTAAAGTCATTGACGACGATGATTGGGACGTTGATGGTCAAGACACCTCTATAAATGGAATATTTTAGCAGTTCGTGTCAATATTTAGTAACTTGTTGATTTAAATTTCAAGCTGTGTCATACACCAAAAGCACCTGGATAGGTTTTGATAAAAGTTTCCTTGATAATCACTTTGTTCACTTGACTTTTCTATCTTTCTCTCTTTTCTCTTTCTTGGCTAAAAGCTTTGCCGACAGACCTTTTGTCAACATTCTGTACAACCTACAATTTTCTTTTTGATTACGTCACTGAATTTTAACTCCTTCCTCTTTCTCTACAACTTATGTTATATCAACTAATCTGTGTTTTCTCGATTTTATTTAACTTCCATTTACGTATACTTGAGAAATCAATTTTACTGAACAATCGATTGTTGCTTTTTTTTAATTTCCTCTATGTCAAATGGGTTCAAGTACTTGGAAGAAGCATCTCCATTCTCATCCAAAATTCTTATTATTTTCCTTCCATCAAAATTTATTTGTGTGTTGAGATTGCTTGATACAAGCCTCTCAAGTCCTGTCTGTATGAGAAGTTCAGTTTCTTACTAAGCATTTTTCTTCGACTGTCATGCTCGCAAAGAATGCTGCAACCGTCTTAACACTGAAAACTAACGTAACATCAGTCCATATGGCATGCGCGGGCATCTTTATTTTTCTCGTTGTACCTTACTATCAAACATTTTTCTCAACGCTCAGTTATTTCTAATTAACTAACAGTTGATTACCGTTGTTTTACAACATCATTATGTTTTTCTACTTTCTCATTCGTTTGACATATTTGGTTGTTCTTCAACAAAAAGCTTTTACAAAAAGATTTGTGAATATATCGAACAATACAAATCCTTCTTGCTCTCTCATCGTACTTGAAAGCTTTAGCTGAACGATTTTCAAAAAATATCTAACAACTCTTATAACTTAGTTCTGAAATCCAAATTGCCAACAAACACTTTTGGGAATTTACTCTTCACTCACAAAGGTCTTCCTTGAGTTGAAAGACGTTATTGATTAAAGATTTAGCAACAAATACAAATAATCATGACTCATTCCAACATATTGTGGACAATTGATATAGTGTTTCTATTTCTTTGTTTTGATATTTCGAAAAACGATTAAGGATAGCTTTTTGAATTTTGAATGTTCTCATTCCAGATAGGACCATCACGTCGTTTTATTGTGAATTCCCACGCATTTTGTTTATTTTCTTTTCAATTTGAATATGAATTGGTTGTGTTTATCTGTGCGCTTAAAATCTTGGATAAATTCCTTAGGGAATCGTTACTGTTGTAAGTACACACTTTCAAAAATATCTAATGAGGTAGTTAATATTCTTATCCTGGTTGTTTCTTCATGAGAGCTTTCAATTGCAATTCGTATTCTATCCTTCTGCTGTTTTCTGTTTGCTCTCTGCTCTCATCTAGCTTCCATCTTCTAGTTGAGGCTATGCCCCTGTTGTTGCCAATAGCCTTCTATCATTTCATACTTCTTGTAGCTTTTTCTCAGGATTTTGATTCTTCCATGTTAAATGCTTCATTCATTATTATCGTTTCAGATTTTTATTTTGAGGCAAATTATGGGCAAGTGAATTCAGTTCAACGAACGAATCTTTATTCTCTATCAGAACGAAATACTAAACAGCTTCATAGCATTCAATTAATTTTCTTATTTTTCACGTTCATTTTTGCCTGAAAACAATCAAAGCCCTATCTGTGAAGATTTTATCTCTTGTACATCTGCGATCGAGCTCATAGGATAACATCGCACTCAGCCAATTAAAAAAGGATCGCTTACCTCGTATTCATACCATCATGGATCATTCTGAGTTGATGGCTGAACTGCCAGATATAGAGAGAATGACACCTCAGGAAAGGATAGCTCTTGCCAAGTACGTGTCTATTGCTACATATTCGGCAAAAAAAACGTATTTATAGAGAAAGGAGAATATTACAACTGCGAAGACATGCGGAAAGGGAGAATCAACTGCCTCCGCCACGTCCCAGGCAGCAGCGTTTGAAGTTTAGTCCCGAAGTAACACTTTTAGAAGCGACGGGGAGAGCTGATGCAGCTGAAGGTAAGTATGACCATTAGAGATTTCCTTTTAATTATCTGTTATAGTCGAAAGACTGCTTCTCGAAGGAGCAAATCCTAATTCTCATAATGAGGATGGTTTAACCCCCTTACATCAGTGCGCAATCGATGATAATCAACAGGTGAGGTTCAACTCTATGATACTTGTATGAACATGTTTATAGATTATGCTACTGCTTTTGAAACACGGAGCTGATGTTAATGCTCAAGATACCGAACTATGGACCCCTTTACACGCTGCGGCATGTTGTGCTCATATTAACGTAGTTAAAATTCTGATAGCTCAGTAAGATTCAAATGTAATACACCAATTTACAACTCGGGTTTCAGTGGAGCGAATTTGTTGGCCGTAAATGCCGATGGTAATATGCCATATGACATTTGTGATGATGAGAACACACTGGATGCAATTGAGAGCGAAATGGCAGCTAGAGGAATCACCCAGGTATCATTTTCCAGGAGAGTTGTTTGTGAAGAACTTTTTTTAAGGCTTTCATTGACGACCAGAGAGGAGCTCCGGAAAAGGCTATGTTAGATGATATGAAGGCTTTATATACACAAAGGCAACCATTAGATGCCAGACAGTGTGATGGAAGTACTTTTGTAAGTTTTCTGTTAGGAATGTATTAGTCAGTATGCACATATTTAGTTACACGTCGCTGCCTCAAATGGTTATTACGACGTAGCTGCTTATTTATTGAAATGTGGAGTTTCACCATTAGCAAGGTTGGTTTCAAAGCATATAGAATCCTACTTAATGTTTTTTTTCTAGAGATAACGATTTGTGGCAGCCTATCCATGCTGCGGCTTGTTGGTCTCAACCTGATCTCATAGAACTTCTATGCGAATATGGTGGGGATATCACTGCTAAAACTGCTACCGGAGAAATGCCAATTGGTTAGTATTACTTTTTTCTCAGCAGTACTTGTTTTTTCATAGATCTTTGTGAGGATATGACAACTCAATCAGTGATAAACACTATGCTGCAACAGGAACAAAGAAGAAAACGATTGGCATTCGGAGTTAGAGATAGCCGACGTCAGAGCCGAAAGTAATTGTTCTAACCCTTAAGCCAATACATTTGTTTTGCTTAAGGAGAAAGAAGTTTGAATCCCCTCAACAACCTTCGTCCGGTGGAGATAATCCATTCTCTGCTCGTGGAGCTATTCGAAGATTATCACTGCGAGATAAGAGTGGCATGACTCTAGCAAGAATAGAAGCTCAAAAAGAAGGAGCCGATATCATAAGGTATGTGCTAGTTCAAAACACTGATCTTTCATAGTTCTTTTCTTCATAATAGTATATTTCTTATAGGTCATGGTCAAAAGAAGACGTATCTCAAAACGATGTAACAACCACTCCGCTACCTCAGCAGAACAGAGAGTCTCCTAATAAGCGAATAATAAAAGTATGGTTTTCATTGAAGTTGTAACTCTTATATTCATCTTAGAGTGCTGGAAATAAAACTAAGCCAATGTCACCAGATGAATGGTTGAAGAAGTTGGAAAAAGCCGAGGATGATGACGATGAAACCTCCCCCAGACGGATGGGCAGTCAACGTCGACGACCCAAGAAAGGTTGAATTAGCATAATCTTCTCAGCAGTACCAGTTCTTTTAAGGTGGCCAAATGGAAATGCAAGATTTACGACCTAATGATGACAGTATTCGGAACAAAAAAGGCTGTTGTTGCGTTATTTCTTAGGCCCGGAATAAACTTCTTCATTGGAACTGGCGTCAGAAGCAGTTTAGTCCTCTGCTCCTCTGCTCCTTGTTCTTATAGGCAGAACGAGTTCAGCAGCAGGTTTTCTGCTACCCTTTCTGCCTCCTTCTTTGTAGGAATGAGTTCCGATTATTTATGTTGTCTTTTATTACGGTTTTCTACGTGCTTGTTACCCGAACTTTTATTTTTTCAAGAGAATGTGATTACTGGCATAGTTGATCCCTAGGTTCCAGAATGAGATTATTAGTAGTCTGATAAGCCAAGTTGACTATTGTGTAGCTGTTTTTGAACATATATGTTAATCGGCAAATATGGGTTTCTTCATTTTTCCTGCATTTAATGCTCATCTCTGTACAAGCATTGCTTCTTAACTTGTCTGCCTTACAGATTTTTGATATTACATATCTATCCTTTCAATCATGCATTACGACGATGCGGTTTTTGTGTTTTCTTAGAATTTATAGCCTGTAATATTGTTTATACTTAATTTGGAACAATTCCCTCATGACCACAGGTTTTCATTTTCCTACCTGTTAGATTTTACACTAATCAAATTATAAATTTATTAGTTTTTGAATTTTGAACTGAAGTGAAGATATGTTATGACCCGTAGAAGCTTCTCTTATTCCCGTCTGTTCACTTATTTTAGTTCTCGTCTGTGATAGCACCACAAATCCTTACAAATAGTCACTAATTAAAATTGTAAAATGTTCACTTCTTATGGAATCAGTGTCTGATCATATTATTGATGTTATGAAACATAACTTATTCTGCATAAACGGTTCTTTTTTTCTCCCTACTTATGCATTACATGCCAATATGCAACATAAGCACGCAATGACTAGCTTAGGACCCAAATGTTTCACGAGCAGAAGCCTTTTAGAGCCATTCCGCTACTCATCGCCCTCTCCTAACGCAGCCTACTCGATATATAAAAAACGTTTGACACATTCTTTAATTTCAACAGAAGTGCTTTGTCAAGAGGTGGCGCTGACCTGACTGAGACTTCCCTCTAGTCGGAACAATGAATGCCAACCATTGCCCATGAAAGGCAACATTGCTCACTACTTTTATGTTCCTCATTCAAATCGAAGCAAATCTTTTTAATAGTCACCCGAAACATTACGTTATTTTAAGCAGCACATTTTCAATTTTAGATGAACCTAGCGCCATTTCTCACTATCTTCCTATTTTTCGTCTCCAAAACTTTCAGCATCAAATGCTACTTTTATCGAGTAAGGGCTGACGAAGGGATTGCCCCAGAGGCTGTAGTGGTAGGTGTTTTCTCTAACTTGGTTGAACGAAAATACTTCAGGTGAGAAACTGCAGCACAAGTTCGAACTGGTGCGTAAAAATTATTGCAAGGAATGAAATCACCGGCACAGATTCCGATACGAGCAATAGTATAGAAGGAAGATGTGCATTCAGCAGTCACGAATGTGAAGGACGACAACACAAGGTAGACAAATTGTGAGCCCATTTAAGGAATTCAAACAATAGTTTAGTGTACACCTGAAGCACCTATTGAACGGTACGGCATCACCATACACGAACACAAATGCTGTTCTAATACGGATCTCTCAAATAAATCCCACATCTTTCTATGTCCTACACTACTCCTTTCTTATATATTATACACATGTATATAAAAGAAATAAAGTTTCCAACCTTCATTGGATTAACAAAAAAATAACAAATTTACTTTGCTGCGGCCTTCTTGAGCTTGGCAACCTCAATTCTGATCAAACGATTTCTATGTTGCTTAGCGCGCATAAGCTTGAAGCGATCGAAGTCGGTCATAGTTTCACGCTGAAAATTGAGTTATCATAGATGCATGTACTTGTATTTAGAACTTACGATAGCCTTAGCAGCTCTAGTCTTGAACCAGGTGGTCTTCTCGAACTCTTCATTGATCTTAGCTTCATCAAAAGCAGCAGCAACCTTCTTGGTTCTTTGTCCAACTCTGATCTTAGTTACGAACTTGGTGAGTTGAAGATCCTTGAGGTTACGAACACCTCTGAGGACACCAGATGAAGGTCCGTCCAAAAGAACCTAGCAAATACATGATGAAAAAAGTTAAAAAACAAAAATAAAATTACTCTGTTTCCATCAATGATATTGACGATTACAGCAATCTTGCCAGCGTTAGCTCCCTTGGCGATGAAGACAACGCGGCCAACTTGTACCAATCGTTTGTAGACCATGTCTGAAATATAGAAACATAGCCTTCAACACTAACATGAGTAAGAAACGAGAGTTTAAACAACGATTTATAACAGAATAAATGTCAAATTAGAGTAAATCAACTGAAAAATCACTTCAACCATACCAAAATGGCTTAACGGTAAATTCAACACTTCCCATTCAAACTTTAAATCGCAAAAAAACAACATCTTAATCGAAAAAGACCGATAAATTTGGGAAAATGCAAGGGAAACTGGCTGAGATGTGTGCGAGAGATACGGTACGTCGAAATCGTGCTGAGACATATTCAATGAGAGTGTAAATTCTACACACTCTTTGAATATACGGGAACTTGCGTACAAAATCTGAGTAATGATCCATCCATAGTTGTATCTAGTCAAGTTACTGGTTCTTTTAAGGATGTTCGATTATTGGGGTGCTCAATAATAAATGTCGATGATTTTTGTAGTAACTACTGGGGAACAATTTTTTTCATGTTGTTTCATCAAATTTTTTTCCTCTCCATAATTAAACAGATGAAACAACGAGCGTGCACCACAGTCTTATACCTCTCGCTTTGGTAACTAGCAAAACATTTGTAACTGATATTGAGAAAACAATGAAACGCTAGTCGTTAAAGTAGTTCAGGAAGATGAAAGCTTTAAGTTTGAATAATTCGAAATCTCACTTGTTATAGAATAATAATCCTTAACCATTATTTAGAGTTACTGCACTATTTCCCTTATCGTCGATTACCAAGCATTCTTAGAAATTAATAATCACATTTCCCCATCAATTACCGCAAAAGCAAAGATATAATATATGAAACCGATTTTTTATTGAAGGGCGGGGGATTCCGGAGTCCCGCGCAGATGTCGCGGCGCGGCGAAGACAGGATGATTTGGTCCACATTGTACTCATATCCCGCATATTTTGAAAGTAAAGAGCTGAAGTAGTCCGATGATTTTGAATTTATGTCTTATGCGATGTTTATTTAATGTTAATATGTTGATAATGAATTGAGTTGTGAGGAAAAATGTTGTAGGAATGACAATGGAGGCAGAGAAAGATAAATCACCATGTAAAGAAGAAAAAACGGATGTCGAAGAGGCGTCTACAACTCTTCAGAGTGGAAGCATTGCCAAGGAAGATGATAAAAAAGAGTCCCAAACTCAAGAGGATATTAAACTCGATACGAAGGAAGAGTCTAAACCTTGTGAAGTTGATAGAAAAAGTTCAGCCGTGAGTTTGAGGCCAACTATTCATGACTTGTTCTGCATACTTTCAGACTCATGATCCTGTAGAAGAATCATCTAGCCAGAGCTATGATAACAATGTCAATAAAGAGCAGTCTCTCGACGGCGATATAGAGAAAAGGAGTTAGTTTCCAAATTCATTTATATTCGTTCAATTTTTGTGCAGTTGCTGATGTATCTTTGGATTCTGATCAACAGCAACAGGATCATGATGCTGCATTGGATGATGACGAAATAGAGGAAAATCCTGCGTATATTCCTAAAAAAGGTATGCAGGCGTTATATTAATTCTAGAGTTCATTATAGTGATTCCTGAAGGAAGATATTACATGCATGATTCCCGCGATGATGGTGAAAGTGAGCTAACATCTTTAAAAAAATCCAGAGCAGATGGTGATTGGAAACATGATAGGTAAGTGTTTCATATATTTCTGTGTTAATTTTGCACTAGATTCGATGAGAAGTACCAAAGGCCAAAGTCGAAACAACAACTCTTGCATAAGTATGGTTTTGACATTCGCAAGAAAGAAGGTGAATGTTCTGGCGAAGAAAAAGAAGAGCCAGAAGAAGAAGAAGTCGCCCCGGCTCGGAGAAATGGTAGAAATCATCGCGGTAGAAACACTCGCGGAAAACCTGCTGATAATCAGCCGAGGGAATTCAATGGTATTGAAGTTTTTCCTATTTTGTGGTACGGTCTGTTGTTCAGGTTCATCGAATGAGGATAGCACAAATGTTGAGCGGCAAAGACGTAGTGATAGTTTCCAAAAGTCTGAGCGATATAATAGACAGAAAGAAAGAACAGAGAGTGATGGTGAAGAGCAAGCCTTTCAACGAAGACAAAAACCCCAACAAACAAAAGTGGTATGGTATTCTTTTTATTTCAACAGTTGTCTTCGATCAAGGTTCGGAATGTCCGGGGCGCACGTGGTTTCCGTGGTCGAGGTGGTCGAAATGGGCCTTCATTCAGAGGAGGAAGACAATTTGAAGAGTTAGCTATCCGAATATATATGAACCTGAAAGATTTGATTCAGCAGAGAGGAAGAACATTTCGAGTCTGGGGAAGATAATGATTTCCACCGTGATAGGGAGAGAAGGCGGAATATAGATTCCGACAGGCGCCATAATATAGATTCCGACAGGCGTCATAATGTAGATTCCGACAGGCGTCAAAATATAGAAAGAAGGCATCATGATGATGACCGGCGATTCGTTGATCCAAGACAACTCGATGACGACAAGCGGAACAGGAAGCCCAAATATCCAGAATATGAAAATCATCGTAGAGGAGCAATTAGAGGATCCGTTCGAGGAGGTGACCTATTACAATCTTACGACAATGAGTGAAAGTTATAGGAAGCTTGAGAACGTCTGGCAGAGGATTTTCTCGTACTTTCACGAACAAAGCTGATGAATCTCGGAGAGAGCATGCTGAAGGAAGTGAAAATCAACGTGTATTTGAGAGGAAGCCGAGAGGTTCGATTATTGATGATGAGAAAGTATCATACCTTCTTAGGATCTTTCGTTCCTCGAGGAAGCCGTGGTCAAGAGCCAAGATCTCGTGGTGCTCCAGTGAGAGGTGGTCATCCTGTTAGAGCTGCTGTCAATCATGTACCTAGAGGTGGTCCTCCAACATCAGGTCCTAAGCGGTATCTTTCATGCATAAACATAGCATTGAGTATTAATTTACAGCTATTCACAACAGAGGAGTGAAGTGTTCCATGGACAGAGAAATGAAGGTAGGTCCTCGCAGCTTTCAATTTATAAAATGAATTTGCAGATGTTGTTTATTTTGATCCTGCCGTTCAAACTAAACGGCAGCCCGCACCACCAAGAGAGAAGAAGATAATAGAAATACTACCTCCGTCATCTTAACCCGGTTAATGTTTTATAATAATCCGCAAGTTCAACTGTTTTATCATGTATCTGTGCTATGCATCTTATATTTATTTTTTATATTGCATTACCAACCGTAATTGATCTATATATTCATAGAGCTGAGCTGTTTCCTATTGAATTATAATGTCATATTTATTATAATTAAAATTTATATCACTATTGTAACAGAGTAATGAGTATGTTTAGGGCAAGACTACTGTTATCAACGGGTTCAAATGACATTTCACAAATAAGCTGTTTTTATAACATAAATCACCTAGTGATCAATTGTACCTTTGTAACATACGCAACTTCAAGGCCTTGGGCTTGCTGAAGGCGTTAGGAGCTCAGGAGTAGAAGGGTAATTGGGGGCTAAACCGTCTAGACTGTTTCCATCAACAAACGTATCCTGGAAGATTATACGAAATGTTCGCTCTTTGAGCCAGAGATTACCTGAACTCCAAATTCTGGCGGAGGAAAAATATCCTCTTCTTTAGGCAATCCCTGCTCCAATGCTAGCTGGTTGCCAGAATTGGGTTTCACTTCGAGATCCTCGTTCCCCAAATTCTACACCAAGATGCTTATGAAATCTTGTTGAATATACTCACCTCTAAAAAATCAAAATCCCAATGTCCACTCAACAAGTCACGACAGTTGTCAATGTTCATATCAACTCCGTTCAAGTATTCTTGCAGCCCCGAAACCCCAGACTAAATTATGAGTGTAACCGAAATGAAATTGAGGTCAAAACGAACTTGAAGTTCGGCCGAAATCTGTCTTTCCAAGGCGGGAGTCATTGTGAACGAAGGAGAAGTTGTACTGTTGTACTGTATATATATATATATATATATACGTTACTAAGGAATTAAGAAGGGTCTTACCGTAGCAGAACTACAGGGCTGCTGATTAACCAAATTTGTTGGGATGCTCACAGCAGATGTAGTTGGCGGATTATAGCTTTTACGAGCGCTATTAAACTGATTTGATACTTGAGGAGATCTTTGAGTTGCTGGGGCAGCACTAGATTTGGGGGAGGGTTGACTTTGTCGTCTAGCCTGGACATACCCTTTTCTTAAATAAGGCGATTGCGGGTGGCCATTTGAAGAAGTTTGTTGAGAGAGAGGAGAGACAGATACTAAAACAGATACTAGAAAACGCGAGATTGCAGCACAATCATACTGTTGCTTCTCATTTCCGGAGCGTACATAATCTGATCCGAGTCCAAAGTCTCCGGATTTTGATCGCATAAACCCCATTCATCTGTTACATCAGCAATTATTGGACCACGACTAAATAGACGGTCAAATACACAGCATGAAACATCTTAAATTGCTCTTACTTCGGGATATCTCCATTTTGCCGCTGAAAACCGCCATTATCCACTAGTTCTCTTTGTAATCTATCGAGAATCTGAAAACAATCAGTTTACTTAATCAATGCCAATGCCCACCTCGGATAAATTATTATTTGCTCCAGAATTAGACGAAGTGCGAGGTCTTTTGGCAGGATTTTCATCAATTGCCAGGACACCTCTTTTCTGAACCCGTTTAGGAAGTTGTGGCTGTACCAAAGCCACAAGAAATTGGACAAGCTAAAAGAGAAAGATAGCCACATGATGTTAATAAGCACTACCTTCTGAACAACTTGTTGTTGTCTGGCATGCTGCGCACGAATATTGGTCATGTCATAACAAAGGGTTTCATTTTCCCTAAAAACTGTTAGAAAAGAGAATTTAAAAATTCCAAACTTTGAAATATCGTATATTTTCGCTTCCAAGTTTCTTTGCTTCTCGCGCACTTGGCGAAGTTCGTCCATTACTAATTGTAAACTATTTTGAGCAGACTGAGATACTGCCTCAGCAGGCCGAGAAGACTGCTATAATTGAGACACATACATGCAAATAGAATGAGCAGCGCCTCTTACTTTTCTTTTAATATTCACGAGAAGATCAGGTCTATCTCTGATAAAACAAGCATGACTAAACTCGAGATGATCCTGATCGGATTCACTCCTGGTTAAACCGCCCCTATCCAGAGGGGACATTTTTCGAAAACCATCTGAATAATTAACTGAGTGGATTATTCGGATATTCGCACATACACATATTTAATTGACGTATGAGACTGTTCAGGTTGTTGTGTTTGAAATAATGTGGTAGAACGTTCCTACAGAAAGAGTATGGATCAACAATATGAAAACTGTAGCCACTCTAGAAAAAGAAACATTGAACAAAACTTTTCAGAATAACATACAGGATCCCATCTGATGATTTGTTGGTAATTCGGATCCTCTACAATATTCCACAGCTTTATCAAAAACAAAGGCATTTTCTCCTCATCTTTATGCGAAGGAAGTTGTGTTGAAGTTTGACTCTTTAAAATTGGGTTAAAACACGCTTTATAAACAATCCTAACCTGGTTCTGTAAAGAGCTCGTCTGGGATGTCGTGTTGAACGACTCTCCTTTACTTCGTGTGCTGGACATCTGTATAAGTAATAATTAAAATCTATAGGAAAAAAGTATGAAGAAACAAGGAATATATCAACATGTGAAAACAATTATGTTTTTTCATCAAAGACTCAAGTACACGTAAGCCTTCGAAAATTGATATATGCAAAAGCTCGAATATTTATCAACGAATGCAAAAAAGTTGTTTCACCATAGAAAAATCGTACGTGATGATCTCACACACACTCATACACACACGCTAAAGGTATATCGATTACTAATCAAATAAGCAAAAGCATTCAAGTGAAAATTGTAGAAAATTTAAATTTATAACAACAAACTGTTTGAATCTTTTTTCATCGTGCAGTTGAAACACACTGTCAGCGAGAGTTTTCACTGCCTAGCAAAACCTTGCAGTTACATCATTATAATAAAAAGAAAATTTATGTTAAAATCAAATGCTGTCTTCTCTGCATTGTATCATCAATCGATCACATTGACTGGAATGAGTGATTAAAGATTCAAATACGAGTTCAAGCAAGTCTTCAGTTGAGAAAACTATTTCCTAAATAAGACTTCACAAAGTTATCACGCATTATGCATTTGCTTTCTAAATGCATTAAAACAACATTTCTAGTTCAGATTTTGTATTAACTATAACAGATGATATGTAAATCATGACTGCATTATAAAAATATAAAAGTAAAAAAAATTTTCATTCATGAAAATGGTGCAAAGAATATTAAAATAGTCCCACCACGATTATACCGTAGGAGTGGCAATTTGCCACAGCCTTTAAAAATTCGAAACTGTTCGACTTCGGAACTTCATTGGCATACTTGTTAGCCTAGGGAAATGACTTCCGAAAATGTTCCTCCTGCAGGTGGTGTTGAAGCCAAAGTTGTTGGGCAGTTAGAGGTATTTACTAGTTTTAATATTCCCAATGTATAGCTAATTTTACAGTATTATTTCGGTAACATAAATCTTCCGCGTGATAAGTTCTTGCAGGAACAAATGAAAATTGACGGAGGATGTTAGTGTTTATCTTATTATTGTTTCGTAAAAAATGCTCTTCAGGGGTTCCTATTGAAACTTTATTGACTTTCAATCGTTTGGCCGCTATCAGCACAGAAGTAGAGGTGATTGCTAAGGCTGTTAAGGTAAAATCTGCGTTATTTGAAAATTCATGCTTGAAACGTTTTTTAGGCTGCTGATTCAGAAATCATATCAGTGTCCGAAGATGGTCTTAAAATCAGAAGAAATGTTGGAAACCCCCTTCCAGAAAATTCATTAGAGTATTGGCAAACAATCAAGCATTCCACCGTTTATATGGTAAATTATCTCATCTGGACATATACTAAAAATATTTCAGAAAGGGTTCCCCCAAGAGACAACTCTTGATCAAATAATGGAGTTTGCGAAAAAATACGGCAGTGTCGATAATGTTTTGATGAGGAGAACTAAGCCAGACAGAATCTTCAAGGTTCTGAACATAAAAGTATTGGTTTATAATGCAGTTTTTCAGGGATCTTGCTTCATCACCTACAAGTCCCGTGAAGAAGCTGAAGTTGCTCAAAAAAGTGAAGATAAGTTCAATGATATCGAATTGTCGAAAATGATGCAAGATGACTATTGGACCATGAAGAACAAAGAAACTAAGGTATAGTAAAGTTAATGCTTTATCCACAACTGTATATTAAAGGAGAAAAAAGCAGCTGAGAAGTTGGCAAAGTCTTCGAAGAAGGTTGCAGATGAAAATGAAACTGAGAAAGCTCAGGTAATTTCTCAAGCTCATATGATAAATTTATTCATCATATTGCAGTCTGCCCCTCACTTCACCAAAGGATTAATTCTTCAAATTGAAGGACTAGGAGAAGATTCAAAGTTCGGTGAACTGAAAGACTTCTTCTCGAAGTTTGGTGATGTTGGATACGTAGCTCATAAGAATGGAGACCCTAAAGCTGAAATTAGGTTTGTTCTACTGTTGTTTAACTTGTGATACCTGCTTTTAGGTTTTCCGGCGAAGAGAATGCTGCTCAGGTAGCTTGGGATAAAACCAAAGAAGCTGGTGAAGAAGGCAAAGTTCTCTACCAAGAAAAAGAAATCACAGGAAAGGCGAGTACCATGTGAGAGAAGTTGATGTGAATATCACTTATTGCAGGTCCTGGAGGGTGAAGAGGAAGAAAAATACTGGGAAAATTTCCATACAAGCAAGCAGAACAAGTTTGATAACAACAGACGGGGTAGAGGTGGACGTGGTGGAAGAGGTGGACGCGGAGGAAGGTGAAAATAAATGATTATTACATGATTGTTAACTCTACAGTTTTAGAGGTGGACGTGGAGGAAGACGTGATTTCAAAGGAAAGAGAGGACTTGTTGATGAAACTGGAGCCCCCGTTCAGAATAAACGTATAGTATTTGAAGATGAAGATGGGAACCCCAAAGCCGAATAATTATTGTACTAATCCTTGTTGATTTTAATTGTTTTGTTGTATGATTTGTTATAAATAAACTTTATTTTTCTTCCGAGTTTTTTCACTTGTACGCGGTCAGAAGCAATGCATAATCGGAATGATAGCAACTTGCGTCGTCCATAGAATCTTCCAGCAGATATTTGGCTATATATTCCAGAGCATATACCTTGACACCCATTGCGTGCAGCTCACTCAATTCCTGAAACTGTTTAATAACAGTGTTGATTTACCTACTTACTCGTTCATTCCATCCATAATTGCAGACGATAGCATGGGTTGGGTTGAAGGTTCTCAAACTTGGAATCTGCTCTCTGAGAAGTTCATATTTGCGAAATTAACGAGCAACTCTTGCTTTTACCTGGTAGACACAACTGCTTTGCCTGCTTCCATCAGAGGAACAAGTCCAGCTGCCTTCTCTTTTTTACAGTAGAGGATGAACCTTTTACCAGAGAATGCTCCAACCTACAATCTGAACATCATCGTTGAATGCTAAAAAAAACTTACAGCAGCAGGATTTTCTTCGGATAATCTCATATTCTCAATTCTGTTCCTCCATCGTTTACAGGCTAAAGCTATCTGGAGTTCGCGACCTTGCAACTTATACTTAGCGAGCATGTTGGGGTGGCTCCACTCAAATTCGTCTTCCTGAATAAAACACAAATTTAACAAAAATTAAGATAAAGAAACATCGAGCCATCGACCAGCTGCAGCACTCCTCTCAATGAAATCGACAGTTAGAACCCATTTTCCGGCAGCTATGAAACCCATCAGCTTGGTGCCTCGTACTAGTTTACCACAGATAAGGTGAGTGGATTCCTCGGTTAACTCATTCTTGTCTTGTGAATCAGTAACTCCACCTAATCTATTGATCAAAATCATTAAATTGTTTTTTTCCTAAAATTTGGTGGGTAATATAGAGTATTATGCCAAGGATTAGTCGTACTTCAAGATCAGCCATTGAGGTGAAGAGAAAATTTTTAGGCGAATTGTGCCGGGTAATTTGCTCAGATGTTTTCGCTTCGATGGTCCGAGAAAATTGATTCTGTACACTATTGATAGGTGTGAGAACTCTAGTTTGAGAAGTCTGCCCCGAAGAGTCACTATTACATATCGATTATCATTCACTAACAACCTAACTTACTTTTTGAAATCTATGTAGGTAGAAGAGACTGTTCTGACACTGGACGTTGTAGCGATTACTTCATCGTTTATCCTTGGAGTAGTCTGAAAAATCAGCTTAAGACAAAAACTAGTGAAAAAGCTACCAGAGTCTGGCCAACGCTCCTTACAGAAGAGGGGTTGAGAGTGCTCTGGAATAAAATGAAAAACTTAGAAAATCATTCAGTCAAAGTACGCGGAATATGTTCTGTCTGCCTGGACTGTGATTTATCCTCAGTAAAGGCCTAAAAATGATCAAAGTACAAATAAAAGAGATCAAACTATTACGCAGGTTGTGGCTGCCAGTCAATACAGTCGTCTTCGTTTATCCTAGCAATTCTTTTAGGCTGAGGAGAATCAGTAATATCAAAGCATCTCTTTCTTCTTCTTATGGCTAAACGTCTTGCTTCTTCTTCAGCCCTCCTTTCTTCTTCTCTTTGTTGATCTTCTGGAAAAGAAATAGTATAAGATGAAAGTAGAAAAAACTACCTCGCATCGCAATCAATTGTTGTTCGACAAGTTGTCTCGATTTTTCGCTTATCTCCCTATTCTGCATGAATGGCATGGCTTCTTCTATGGACATAGGAGGGCTTCCGATACTTCTGCGTGATCGAGTCGAATAAACGTGAGGCATCTGAATATATTCTGTAAACTTGCTTAGAATAAAATTAACTTCAATGACGGAATCACGACCCCCAAATTCTCTGTCAGAACGGTCTAAAAGTTCGTTACTGCTTCTCTGAAAAGGAACAGATGCTTTGACTGCTGCTTCAGCGAGGACTTTGCCAACACCCGAAACACTCTAGAACATAACAAAGTGTCATAGCATTAACATCAAATATTACGAGAGAATTAAAAGTGGATTCATTATCCGTGTTCACTGGTGTTATTATCTCTTCTAGCACTTGAGTCACTCCCTTCAACTCGAGTCTTGAATATATTAAGATTAGGTCACCATTAGAAAAAAACGTAATCACTTCAGTCCATGCTTGTTCATAGATGTATGTTTCGATCTCGAATGTTCATGTGTTACTTGAGAAACGGTGACTTCAAATGTACTATCCACTGTAGGTATTTCGTCTCCCAAGAGATAATTGTCGACTTAACTTTAATAATTTTCTAAACAAAGGATCTCTCAAACCTTCGTCAACTGTCATTGTGGACGATGGAAGTTCGTCAAGTTCGTGGGTGACTGGTAAACGTTCCACCCATAGATCATCAGTTCTTCCTTCATATGATGCATATGCAACAGTCTGAACATGTCACTATATCAAATCACGAATAATACTCGGAACCTCTATTGGGAAATGTTCTGTTGGCAAAAGCTTATCGTTCACGATGCATTCTATTATCCAAGATGGGTCCACTATCTGGCAAAATGTGATAATCATTTAACAGCTCAAAATCAGTTCTTACTTTCATCCTTTGAATTTTTCTTGAGCATTCTATGATTTTATGATTTCTACATCCAGGAATTAAATGCGTACAAGGCAGTACACCATTTTTTGGTCGAGCGACAACCGAAGATTCAACGCGACCTCCAAACATTTGCAATAATTCTACGTACGTGCCCTGAGATACCATGATGGGCGTTAATTATTCACACTTCAAAGACAAACCTTCTCATAACTTTCCAAAGCTAGAAATCCAACAACTACTCCATTGAACAAGGTAGTTCCCTGTACGGCTGGAATAGGTCGGAACAATGGATGACTTTTTCTGTCAACCACCTGAACTCTAGCCATGCAGCTTTTCTGAAATGATCCGTTCAAAAATAAATTAGAGACAAAACGTACTAGCCAGCATTCCGTGACTAAATAGCGATATCTTCCGATAAGAGGAGAGAGCAAAACACCATACTCAACTTGTGGATAAATCATATAGTCAGCAACTTCATGATCAGAATCCGCTAGGACAACGCCTATATTTAGAATATTTTGAATGTATAACATGTATAAGAACTCAAAATACCTGAAGCTTTACAACATTCTAGAGACCAGAATCGAGTTAACTCTGAAGGCAATCCACAAAACCGAAACTTCAAACCTCTGTAATTTATAAGTTAACTAGAAATTGTCAAATAAAATTCACTCAAAAAGCTTGTTCTGAACTTTGTTGGTTTCAAGTTGAGACCGCGAACAGGAAGCATTAGAAGAGGATGAATGAGATCTCAGGCTGAGATTTAAAGCTGTAGTGGTTCCCGCCGTGGTTACGGCATCTTCCTAAACTTATTAACTATAACTGAAAGAGCTAAAAGTTTATACCCTAGCAATTTCAATATCATTTTGCTGATAGTCAGATAGAACAGAGTTCGCAACAATAGAATTAGTAGTGCTTTTAGTGACGTTAGACTCTCCACTCCACACGAAATCTGTGAATCGAGACTTGAACAGAAAGAGATGAACGATACCTACCATCAACCGGTAATAAGTCTTTTCTTTGTACACATTCTATTACCCATTCAGGTTGTACAATAACAATTCCATGTTTTTGAGCATCCAGCAAGACCTTCCTATCTTCTGTTCCATTCAATACAACAATGTGAGTGGCATTTTCAGGCTTTATAACTCGAGTGGCTCCACATCTAGAATTAGCATATGAGCTAAATCATAAAAATAGTTGTCTACCTATCCAAAACACGTTTCCATTTTTCAATACGACTTTCTTGAACCCCGCACAACCATATCAAACAACCCTGCACTTTTCAATAAGATATGTGAGCAAACAGTTAAACCTCTAAAAAATCAAAGTCGCCTCTATAGCTCATTTCAGACAAGTTGTCTATTGGATCCGTTACAATAGAAGTAAGATTCGAGATTTGTCGACAGCTTTCTCTTCGAATAAATTTAGGCCTGAACAACGGATTACGTCGGAGCTTATGCACTATTGTAAACCTTGTCGCGGTGGCTGGTGTATTGGTCTTCTCCACCTTCTCTTTATCCGCAGCCGCAGAGAAAGATTGCGAAGGATTCGGGATTTTAGCAGAGCCTCAAGATTTCCGAAATAAGTATTATGACATATATTATACCGTAAATAGAGCTAAAGTCCAAGTCAACAGGTGGCGGTATTCCATTGGGTGCCTGCGTACTAGAGCGTAGATGAGGTGTAGATGGATCAAAAAGTCTGGAGATTAGTTATATCGACATGCTTATATGACGAACAAACTTTTCATTCAACAAATACCCTTCCTCCACACTTTTTCTAAGCCAACGTGGTTCAACAATATGGATTTGACCCCACTCACGAGCCTGGAAATAAATCGTATTCTGATTACTTGTGAAGGAAAACCAACTTTTCTATACTTAGGCCCTGAAGTTCCTTCCATTATCAGATGAGTACATTCATTACGCTTCATGTCTCCAGGATTTCTTCCTCCGTAGAGTTCAATCAATCTTCCCATATCTGAACGATCCTGTCCGGCTATTCCGGAAGTACAAAGAACCTGAATAACAATTCGAGCATGACCATGATATCTTTTCCAATACCAAATTAGTAAATAGTGGTAAAGTATTAGCTTTGATTAATGGAGGAGATGTAAGTTGTTCAACAACTAACTGCGAAGCTCGCACCCAGCCTTCTTCTAGCCAGCTGGGAGACATTACAGGGATACGAAGCTGTCGAGCGACCTATTAATAGAGACATTATTATCATAATGTTATGTTTTAGAAAACTTTGTATTTAGGTGCATTAGATTCACATTTGTCCGCGACCAAATGTGTTACATTTGATGTAAAGGATTTTGAAACAATACCATCCATCCATCTGACCAAGTCAGACAACTGATTCTACAATTGAAAACATCTGATTGTTTTGTGAAAATTTACTAACTCTGATTTCTGGCTGAAGGCCAGTGAAGCAAACAACAGCGCCGGATAAATTCATCGAAAAAATGGGATGCGTCCATTTGGGTATTGCTCTTCCCTCTGCTAAACACTGAATTACCAGGGACGCCCCGATAACCCTGTCAAGAAAATGTTACATATTGTTCAAAACCAGGTGAGACGCACTTCACTTTGCGATTATTAAGATATTCGAAAGCCGGCCCTCTGAAAGAGGGGAAAACATAGAAATTAGGGTCTTTCTCGCTGACACGTAAACATGATGACCCAGCAATCCATTCTGGCTCTACATTAGCTTTGTGTAGCTTCTAAAGGAAACAAGTTGAAATTTAACAGACAACTAAGGCTCAGAAGAACCTGGAATAGATCGTTCTGTGTTCTTCGTTCCTCTTCAGTGAACTCCACGTTTGAACCGAAATCCTTCACACAAAAAACAATTTGGTTGTCAACATCATATTGAGTCTAAACAGGAAACAACAGCACGGATACGAGGAAAAAGCTTCTCAGACTAACACTATCTATAGTGGAATTTTGAGATTTTCTTGGAGCCCATACTGATGAGTCTGATGTCATACCTAAGAGCTGGAAATAAAATTGCCGAGCAAAACAAGAATATACAACACGAACTAACGCATGATTACAACCCGTCAATCTTTTTCAAACTTTATTGCTTTCTATCAGAGATCTCAAATTTTTGTCTAAGACAATGTTCTTACCTTTCCAATGAAACTGAGACGGATAGCCTTCTTTGTCAAAGGTAAAACTAGGAAATAGAGTGTCTGCGATTGTGGCTTTTACTAGTCCAAATGTGTCGAATGGTGACGGATGATAAAGACGACCATTTTCTAGCATGAACAGTTGGTCGGGCTTAAAATATAAAGAAAATCTAAATGAAATAGATACTGATAAACCTGGAAATCTACACTTATTGATGACCCCCCAATTAGGAGAGACGATGAGTCTTTCGAAAAAGCTGTATACACGACAGGTCGATCATCACATCTCAAATAATTATTCTCCCTTCCACACTTACTCATGTATTTAAAAGAGTCCTTAGCAATAGTTGAGAAATATCAAGAATCTTCGCGCACCTGATAACGCTCTGTGGTATTCAAGCGAAGATTCTTATAGAAAAAATTAAGGAAGGCTTGGTCTAAAAACGCGACATAGTCATTGTACACTACACCAGACACACCTCTGTAAGCAGCAGTAAAATTTTTCATTCTACTATCATCCAAAAACAGAAACCCCTCATGACTTATATAATAGAAATATTCCCTGAAAAAAAAAGGTAATATAATTCGATGTACACTAAAAGAACCTCACTTTGCCATGGTATTGCCCTTGTTGATAGCATTTTAATAATTTGGCTGCTAATCCTGGCATCTAGGAAACTTCTGCATTAAATCTTCATAGAACTCGTAGCTAGACAAAAATAATTTTAAGCGAACCAACGCATGTCACAACTTTATTGTAGAGACTTTATTGAATGCATATTTAATCTACAAACTCTATAACTTTTAAAATGTCCAGTCCTAGGATGTGACAACGTCTTAGTAGAGACGGAAATCAGACTTCTTTCCTTGCTCTTTGTCAAACTCAGGATCTTGGGCGACCTAGGTAAGCATACATGTGAACGGTAAAAAAATAACACTATTACCTGCTTGTAGTAGTTCCAATCCTTGGACAATGGTTTATCTCCTTCCATTGGAGCCTTTGAGAGATAAAACTCATAAGGTGGTTCGTAATTCTTTTTGTCCTGGTAGAACATACCCTTCTTCCAGAACGAGTAGTCAAACTCTCCACTTGCCAGTTTCTCCTGGTAGTTTCCTTTTTAAAAAAATCATGAATGTGCTTACTTTGTGCTCAGCAAGTTTTTGGGCTCTTTCCTCCATAATTTCTGGATGGCGTCTTTCCCAAATTAATCTATGTTTCTGCTTCATATAAGCATCGCGAACATCAGCCTCTCCACCTAACTCTCCGTATTTCATGAAGAAGTTCAACTCATTTTCTTCTACATCTTCGATCACCTGAAATAATCTGAACATAAAGAGAAAAGAGGAAAGAAAAAACCTTCACACAAGGAGAATGATCAGAGCTGTTGTACTGCATGCAACGATCTAAACGTTGACGAAGAGTCTACAACATACATCATATACAAAAGAAGCTTTAACAAGTTATTTACTTGAAGTATGAATCCATCAACCATTTTATCGAGACGGAATTGCTCATTAGCTTCATAGAAACAGGCCTAAAATGTAAATTGTTAATGTAAACTTGAATAATATTGTGGCACCTTATCATTAACTCCGCACTCATCAATTTCAGGAACACGATCAAGCTTGCGCTGATAATACGGCAACTTATTATCACCATGAAGAGGCTCAACAATGGACTCTAAGAAGGAAAATAAATGAACGAATAGAAAAGAATGAAACCTCTGAACCAAGTTGCAGGCTTATCAAACAACTTGTGGGCGTAGTAACGCATACGAGGATAGATGGAACCTCTGGAATCCAAATCTCTCAGCTTCCAATAGGCATCCCATGAAGCCTTCAAACGACAACTTTGTAAACCACTATGAATGTTACGGTACCTTATCCTCTTTCTGTCGTTGTGCTGCAAGAGTCGCTTCACCCATCTGAACAAGAATGTTATACATTAACAGTTGATTCACATAAGTATAGAAGTGACATTACACTCCGAGAAATCAGAATTTTTTTGATTATGAAAGATTCAAAGCAATACGTGAAATTAACAGAAAGTATCGCGAAATAACAACAACAAAAAACAGCTATGTACAACTATTGAAATATATGGATTTGGCAGTCTTTTTCTTGGATTTCTGTATCTCTTCTTCAACAAATTTAGGGATTGACTCTTCCAGCACATATTCAGATGCTAAGATGATTCTTCTGAGTGTCATAGTCTACAAGCTCAATATTATTGAAGAAACAAAGAACATTCTTACATCCAACGGTTTCCCACTCTTCAACCAGGATCTTCCATTCAATCCCACTGTGATTTCAAACTTAAACTCTTCCCCGAGTAATTCCATTAATTTGTTTTTAGGGGACAACATTCGACGCGCTAAATGTAATGGTGTCTGTAAAGAGAAAAATGTGTTTCATATAAAAGCAATAATTACCTTGAACATTAAACCTTCAGTGAGAATGCCTAATCCTTTAGCTCTAGAAACCGAGTCTATACATGTGAGTTCAGGCTCCAAATGTGGAGATGCTTCAGATACTTGCGCATAAATTATATCCCCAGTTTTCAAGTTTGGTCTATTACGTTTAGTTGCACCTTCAAATGAGAGAAAGTTAATCTGCAAAATGAATATTTTCAAATTAATTTTTAAAAAAACGAACAAGAGCCAAATCGGAATATCCAATATCTACTTTGAAGAAATCACCCAATTTGTTCGTCACAATACCAATCACTCTATCTCCTTTGAATGGAATATAACTGAAACATTTTACCAGACTTAGAAAGAAAAACACAGTTTTTAGGAATACCGTTTACTATGTACTGAAACCCATGTTTTGTTATCGTCACAACGTAAGAGTCCTGGCTGACAAGTTACGAACATATCTCCGCGTTTCTCAATACCATTTCTACAAAACTAAGAAAGTAAGATTGTGGAGCTCAACATGCAAACCCCAAACATATTTTTCGCGAAGGATCAAGGTGTGCTAAATTTATAATTTCTCCGGGTAAATGACAAGATTCCATTAGTTATTTTCAAAAGTATGAGATACGATGTAAATCTGCTGGAAAAGTCTGAAACCCAAAGTATTAAAAAATAATTCGTTCCAATATATAAAATTCATACCAACAATTGACTTTTCGAGTGATTAACTAAGCCCCACTGGAAAAACCAATTATGCAGATTACAAATTAAATACCAATGTGAAATTTGAAGATTAATATATTTAAAATTAGTTTTTGCTAAGCCAAAATCGCAAATACGACAAAACGCGCCCCAAAGCTAAACATGTTTGACTGCCGGTATTTCCACATAAACATAAGATACGCAGTCAATGAAGGCCGCCTGTGTAATCAATGGACAAACTTTTTTAAAAAATCCTTCATTTATATTAGTATAATATTCGTAAATTTAACAACCGGTGTTTGATGAGATTTAAGTTACATAGCACCGAATACTAGAGGTTTAACTGTTCTCTTTATTAAATTCCGTAGAGCCTTGAGCTGATCAGTACAATAATATAAATTTTTTTGTTTGAGGTAATGTTGTCCCGCAACCTAGCTCTTCCTCGCCTTGCCGTTAGATCTATTCAAACCTCCTCTTCTGTCTCTGGTAAGAAATCAAACAAATTTCTCATTCTTAAAATTATTAGGAGGACACCACGTTGAACACTGGTGGGGACCTGAGAAGGGCGCTGGCCGCGAACTTGTTGGTTTCGGTGCTACTGGAGATAATGTATACATTTCGTGTGAAGGATGAAAATAGATTATTTTTGCAGGTTTATCAAGACCGTCTTGATTACTGGTACCCAGCTATCAGATTCCGCAAAGAAGATGATGTAAGCAGACCTCTTCGTCAGAAAGAACAAGGAGACTGGAAGAATCTTTCTCTCGAAGATAAGAAGACATGTACGTTATGAATCGTTAACCAGTTCATAAACATAGTTTTTCCAGTGTACCGTTATTCCTTCAGACAAACTCTTGCTGAGTTCGAAGCTCCAAATGGCTACTGGAAGGTGAGAGTTTCAGTTTTTACAGTTATTTATTTGATTATCAGGCCGCTACCGGAATCATCTTCGGTGTTCTTTCTCTTGCTACTTTATACACTACATTCTTGAAGAAGACTGGTTATATTTTTTCGTTTTTTTTTGCTAACTTTTGTTGTTCAGTTTATCCTGAACTTCCACCCACCTTCCAGGATGAATACAAACAAGCTCAGGTTGAAAGAATGCTGGTTCTCGAGAAGGTAGTCGAATATTTCTATTCTATATTTCTAAATAAACTTCAGGGTCAATTCCTTGGTCCAGCCAAGCATTACGATTATGAGAATAACAAGTGGAAGTAAATATAGAAACTCTAGATATGGTTCGATATTCCGATTATGATCATTCTGAAATTTTTGGTTTAGACACTAGTGCTCCGTATCTCTTCTTTCGCGGCGGTCAACTCGGCGTGTTTTCTTTCAATTTCACATATATTGTACATCTTGTACAGTTTGTTTGGGTTGGTTTCCCGAAAGAATGTATGCGAATAAACTTTAATTGTTCTTCATTTGTTTTGATCACAACATGGTAAAAGGGTATCACATCAAGGAATGAATAGGGTTAATGAGTATTATATACAATAATTTAAGCTCATAAATTAGATCAAACTTGGACTAGCTAAAGCAAGATTAATTTGGTTAATTCGTTGCACATTATAGGTTTCAAACTTTCAAATGGATCTATTGTATCCTGTTTCTGTTTCACGAAGATAGGTCGAAGCCCTCTTATTCTGCCTACAAGACCAGTCACCTTGTCATTATCATTCTGCTCTGACTCGGATGTCTCTGCGCTTCTGTCTTCATCTTTGGGGGTTGAACTATTGCTGTCTTCGCATTTGGTTGGGACATCTAAAAAAAGAAAACTTGAAAAAAAAAAAGATTTAAAAAACCTATCGGTCCAGGAGAGGAGTTAGGGCGTTTCGGTTTGAACTTCAGAGCAGACGTCATGGAAGCAAGCGCTTTCCTAAACACGAAACAAGTTTGACTGTATGAGAAATGATTACTAACCTCGCTGCCCCTGGTCCGTTAAGCACAAGCTTACAAGGCTTTTGAATAGGTTTCACTTCTCCGCGCGACATCTCATAAGCTACGGAAATTTGCTCAGCAATTGATTCAGCATATTCATCCGCCTCCTCCGCGGATTTTATTCTTATGGCAACATTATTGAAGAGACGTGTTTTCGATGGTCTCCAGGCCCATGATCCCTGAGATCCATTTTTTCCTGTTATTCTCAAGTGGGTTCGGGCATTACGAGATGGTTTTCCGACCTTAATAATACAAAAGTAATACTCAAATATCCATCTTAATGATAACCTCAATTGTTTCTATCTCGTCAAGGGGTATTATCCTTACATCCATCAGCTTTTCTACCTCATCATCATACAGAGCGACAAAAAGACGAGCTCGAGTTAATAAAACAACAGAATCTACATTATCCGAGTCATCTCGAGCATCAACAAGACCCCAACCGGCTGCAAATGTTTACAAGAAACTCTACGGCAAACGGCTTTTTGAAATACCGACAAGAACTTCTCCTTCTGGCAGAAGAAAATGAATTGTTTCGCTAACAAGGCGTGATACGTTCCCATCTTCATCTTCATCAGAATCATCAACCATCGATTCGGATCCTGCAAACAGAAGTAAGAAGATTACTCAATAGTAGTTTAATAGAATACCGAGATCCGGTTCACCCAGAAGATGGTTGATTGCTTTCTGGCGTGTAGAGTCGCGAACATGAGAAAGGTAATATCTCGAAGCACTATTGTACCCATCTTTCATGATGCCGGCAATTTTTCTTTCTCCTGATCGAGTGACATCTCCTTTCAAAGCAGCTGTTCCTGCGTACTGAAACCAATATAACCAAAAAAAACAAAAAACTCTATTAAACCTGAGTTGATATAGCATCACCATTATCCGCCCATAAGGTTTGAAGAACATTAACCAGTATATCGGGTGGTTCGGCGAGAGGGCCAAATATGCCGAGCCTTTGAGCTTGTCTCATGCAGACGAATTGAGAGATGGATCCCTACAGATGTATAATAACAGGAAAAACAGTTAGAAAGACAGACTTGAACTACATTTGTTCTATCTAAACAATCTACACAATTGGTTCTGACGACTCCTTTCTGAGATTGAACAATTTCCCCTGAGTTTCCCTTTGTTAGATGATTAATACCTGACATACCTGTCTTATCAACCCAGCAAAACCCAACCTCGTTCAATTGGTCTTGGATACTGTCAATTAGAATTGATATCTAGAAAACAGACTATATCTGGGTCCAATCTCTTAACAATACTCTATCGAACCGCAATCCTCTACAATGTTTATGAAGATCAAATGAAGCAAAAACAATCTTCTCCGATTTTTGTTTCAAGGCATGCTAAGAATGATAATGATTTTATGATCTTTTATGAGTCAAAAAAACCTCTAAATAACCAAGAGCTAACTTCAGCTCACGTCCTGTAAGATCTACTAAGTTGACGAGAATTAGATTTGATCCATAAATAGACACTAGTTCGGAAATATGCTGCAACTCGGAACAGTCATTATCACTTCAAACTGTTGATTACCTTTTCGAAAACTGGTAGAGACTCTTCTGTCGACTTGTCAATGCTCAAGGGTGGTCTGTACTTTAAACCTTTTTGACTCCAAAAAAGAGGAACTGAACCTCGAATCTGAAGAATGAAACTTGGATCGAAAAGGAATTAATAGTCCGTTTTCAGACGAAATTAAATATAGAAGAGTATACCTACCTGCACATATGAAAGATGATGACCAAAAATATTGAGAATCAACTCGCTTTCGACAAAATTAGCCACGTTTCCATCATTATCTATACCTCTTCAAACAAAGAGTTACTTTTTCCTCCATGTACCGAAGCTTACCTTCTCAAATAACGAGCACCAGCTCTCCTAACGGATCTTCTTGAAATCAATGTCACTTCTAAAGAAGCAGTAAGCTGAGCATCCTCTTGAAGCGTTATTTCAACTGTCCGTATGAATCCTTGTATAACCGGTATGGTCCTATTGTTTTTCTTCTAATTTATTTTACAAAGGATATAAGTACCATTTATCCTTGAATTCAGGAGAGAAAGAGTCATCAATACAAGACAGAAGATGCTTATTCCAGAAAAAGCACTCAATGGGCTCGGAGCTGGAACCGAAGAAACGTTCAGTAGAACGAGTGATATCTCTCTCCAAACAATAATAGAAATCTGGGTTATCATTGAACAACTTCAAAATTTCTTCCAAGAAGGTTGGTTGATTTCCTAAAACAATGATCAGATGATGAAATGATATATAATCGTTACCAATTTTCTCTTGAACAAACTTCAGAAGTTTCTCAGTTCCGACTTTCAGCTTACCGCCTTGATTTTCCTCGAGCAAATGTTTCAAATTCCTTTCATCTACATCAATAGGCACTGCCTTCACCTTTTCAATTTTATAAATTGGTATCTTCTGTAACATGCTGACTTACAGAAGTTTAAAAATCGTTGTTACCTTGTCATGATTTCTAAAGTAACCTACACGAGTGGATTGCGAGACAAGCAGTAAATAATAGACATTATCAATTTCAAGCCTACCAACGAATAATTGGAAAGTGCCACATAGAACAGCGTCAGGTATGACTTCTAGAGTGATAAAAATTTCTAACACTCTGCCCTAGTTCAACTACCAGTGGACGGAAACTGCTCACATCTACCATCACATTTTTTAAATGCAAGTCTGACGCCTTCATTCTCGAGCAAAATATGACTAGAGCACGAATAAATATTCATCTCATTCTGAAACTGTTATGAACCTGTCAACATTCACAGATCGCAAATGTATCTTCTATGGAAAACTACCAAAAAAACTACAGTTCATATAAACATCATTTTATTGAAACAATAACAACATTTTCACTCCTCGCTGTCAACATTGACATTGGTTAATCCCTTGAAGCTGGTGCATGGGACATAGGTAGCGAGTGTGTAGAGCTTGTGGGCAGAGTCCTCATCTTCGTTGTGTCTACGGGAAAGACGAACACGGACACGGAATGGAACGTTCCTACAAGAAATTACAAATGTCAATCAAGAAAAATCAAGAAAAAAAACAATAACAAAGACTCACTTGATTCCCTTAGACCAGATGAACTTGTTGAGTCTGGTATCGATGCGAACATCTTCGGTGTTCATTTGGGCTTTGGCGAACTTGCGGATCTCATCGATAGCACGTGGAGCGCGTTTCTTGGCACCACTAAATAAAAGAAGGTATATGCAAAAAGATTTGTTTAATCACTCACATTCCCCTGATTCTTTTGTGAACGTGGATGGTGTACTCACGGGTAACAACCTCGTTGATGGCATTTCTAGCCTTTCTCTCCTGGTTAGGCTTAGCCATTTTACCTGCAAAAATATTTGGCCTAATCGAGGGAATCAAAGAAGTCAAAACTACATCACATAAAAATCGTAACTACTAGTTAACACAGTAAAATATTCTCTATCAGATGTGTCACCACTATTTTGAAAAAAATCTTACAAACTCGATTAAAAAAAGGATCAAAACATACTTTAAATAAAATAGGATTCGTAATTTAAATTTCGCCACCCTTGACCAATTGAAGGTCCACGGTTGCATTGAATACTCAGCCGAACAATTTATCTGCTTAAACTTTCGTGGCGGGACCAATTATAAAATTTCAGTCAGAAAGAGCAGTCTTTTAAGTTATGCAGACTGCAAGCGATGCGTAGAGTTCATAACAAATTGCTGTTGTTTGCATAGAAAAAAAACAAATTTATGATAATTATATAAGCTTTCTGAAAATCTTTGATTTTCCCACGTATTCAACCTCCTGTTTTCTCAGCAGCCTCACCGTGATAGAGGTGTATCGAGACTTTCTACAGGTCAGCTCTCGAAACGAACTTTATGTCAAGTTCACCACTGTACCAAGTTCATGTTTACATAATATAAATGTTTACTTCTTTTGGGAGCTATGCAAATTTGTAATACTTTTTCTACCCTTTCACGATATGCTTTTTGTAGTCGTTTCTTTTATTGAATAAGATCAAATAGTTTTCATAACAATTTATTGAAAACAACAACTTAAAGGTTCTTGGGGATAATATCGTCCCTTTGGGCCAGTCTAACAAGTGCGTCATCAGCTTCTCCCATGTAACGAAGAGCTCCGCAGATGGCGTAACGGTTGGCTTGTCCAGCGATCTTAATTCTCTAATTAGCTCAGCCGAAAAATCATCTTAATATACCATGCGTCCAGTGACTGGATCAACTTTGACAATGTCGATTTGAACAGCGGCGTGATCCTTGGGTCCGATAATACGGTTGGATGAAGAGCTGAAACAGTTTTCATACATGTGAAATTCGTATGTAATAACTCACCATTTGCGGGGAACGTAAAGCTCAACAGTTTCTCCGGCGTCGTTCTGCATGGTTACCTGAATGATCTATCATGAAGCAAGAACACAACAGCAAATAAGAAAAACAAGAAGACGATACGAAAGAGAAAAATAAAATGGGGTGCAACCATCAGGAGTAAATGAGGTAAAACAATTAGAATAGTTTAATAATTTAGGAAATCACAGAAATGTTTATAGCAATCCAGTTGCAATTTTGTACATTTTATTGTCCAAGAGGACGTCCCTCTCCCCAAGCATGGCGTCTAGGTTGGGCAGGAGCCCGACGTGCTTCAGGCTGAGCACCAGCCATTCCGTGAACACCCCCAACTTGATGAGGCAACATGTCAACAAGGAACGAAGGTGTCGAAATGAGCTGAGCTCCATCGTGATCTTCAGGGTATTTGAAGGCCAAGAAATAATAAGTATGACCAATAAGGATACCCAACAACTCAACAAATCCACTACCGCGCAAAACGGCGTTCACACCGCAGAGAACCCACGGCAAATAGAGAGCCTGGAACCACTTTTATAATACTTCCGACACAAAAACTACAAACCTTGAAACGAGTTCCAAACCAGAAGCTGACAATGGTTTCCTTATTTAGTTGACACCAAACATAGAGCACACTTATAACCATAGGCTCCAACATAAAGTAAGACCCGAGAGCAAGACAAAGACCCTGGAACAAAAAGTTGAAAGACTAAATAAAAATATATGTTACCGTGCACACTATCCAATTGACTAACAACATGAACAAGTAATCCGCTGGTCTACCGGCATAAGTTCCTTCTTCCAAACTTTTGGAATATTGATAGAGAAAATAAATCATAATAAGCCAATGGAATCCAGTTTGTGGGGAAAGAGGATAGTAAACTAATGAGGTGATGGGTCTCCAAAACTGAATATCATCACTTTAAGGAGTGGACAAAAGTACGTGAATTACTTGAAATTTATAAGCAATGAGATTCCAATCCAAATACATCCATTGAGCTGGCAAGAGCCCTATTCTACCCAGCAAAGGAAAAATTATAGAAGCAGCAAACCAATGCCTCGTAATTAACGGAATCGAGCGAAAAAAATCGCCAAACTCATTCGCCATCTGAAGCAGAAAATAAGGCTTCTACTACTTGCAAAAATAAACAAAAAACTAAGGAAAAATAAACATCAAAAACGTTAAATATAGCATAAAAGTATTAGGAATTTTAGGCCACGTTCTCTAAAAAATTTTACTGCAAGAGAGTCGTGATGAGACCAATTCTGCCGTGTCGCAGCGCAGCCGCGACGCGGTCAATAATTGGTTGCTATCACGTCTATGCAACGTGTTACAGCTGATTTTCTATGCTTATTGACCCTTATATTGTTCATGTTTTGCTTATGATTGTTCATTTGAAAGCTGGTCATCAGACTTTTTTGTTGTTTATGATTCTGCATTAGAAATAAGGATATTCAAATAGATTTATATAGATGTCTTTCCTCTTGTTTGATATTTGCTGACGGTTTTTGATAAGCAAAGTTCTGTTTTTTTCAGATATGAGTTTAGATGCAGATTCTCAGGATGATAATATAGAAATAACAATAAGATGTGCCCTGCAAACAAACCCAGATGAAACAATGACAGTCCCTCTATCTTGGAGTGTTGTCCAGTTGAAAGAGCACATTCACACTGTTTACCCAACACATCCTGTTAGTTTTGCCTTATTTCTTTGTTTCTTATCAATTATTTAAGGATGCTTCTTCACAAAAACTTATCTTTTGCGGTAGTTGCCTGAATAACGACTTTGTATTACGTATGATATTCAATGAAACGTAATGCTTTATCTATTGTGCTAGATAATTCATTGATTTTATAGAAGGAGAGTGGTAGGTGGACCACAAGTGTTACATTTGGTTTGTCCTATGGCTGCTTCAACTCCACAATTAAGACAGCGTCGTGCTAATAATGATAGGTTTTTTTCTCTCTCTTTCCAATAAGTGTATCAAGAATTTCTTTCAGTCAAGCACAGAATCCAACACCACCACCTTCGTATGAGAATGTTGCGAACGATTTTCCCGGAGCTTATGCTTCCGGGGTGAACTATCCTGCTGCTATGAGTGCCTACAGAGATTATTATAATAGTTATATAACTTAGTAAGACAGCGTGCTTTATCTCAAGTTTCATCTCAATTTTTAGCTATCAGCAATATAGTAATGCAATGATGAACATGAATATGAATGGAACGAACTATCCTTTCCCTCATCCAGTATTTGTCAATGTATGTAGATCAGTTTGCGATTTATCATTGACAAATTTATTTAGAATGGACCTGGAGTCCCTGTCACAACATATTATCCAAATGTTCCAAATGTGAATGTCCAACCAGTTAATCCTATCCCTCAGGTTTATCCTTTTTCAAGAAATATCAACCTGTACTGTTTGCAGCCTAACGTTGTCAATCCACAGCCAGCTCAACCTGCGGCGCCAGCTGGGAGACGACTAGAGGAAGGATTAGATTTTTTTTACAATTTTTTCCGAGCCGTACTCCTCCTGACAGTATGTTTGTGGGTTTCTCTCAGTGATAGTCTTTTTTTCTTCAGGCGATTTTACTTTATTCGTCGCTAGAACGATTTTTGCTGGTTGCTGCTATTATTTCAGTAAGTCATTTGTTATTTTGTTTTTAAATTCATTATGTGTATCAACTCTAGGTCATTGTTTTCACTCAACTCAGACGAGCACAAAACCGAAGAGCTGCTCAAGCAGCTGCCCTTCATGTAAATAATAATAATGCTGGTGAAGAAAGAATACAGGAAGATGCTCCCACTGAAACCGAAGCAAATGTGAGTGCGGAAGGAGTTGATAGTTTAGAAAACGAAAGGCAGCAGGTGAGTGTACATCGTCTTACGCTTGTAATGAATTATAATATTTTTAAGGAAAACATTACCACGCAACCAGCTCCTCCCAGTGGTCTGCAAGTTTTCCTGTCTACGTGCTTCTCGTTTGTGACTTCTTTTGTCGCATCCCTTATTCCCGAAAATATCCCAGTAGAAGTAAATTAGTCGATTTCTAGAGTGGGGCAGGTGTATAAAGATCATATCGATATAAGATAAATCCTGTTATTTATTAATTTTGTAAAAAGTTGTTTCGCGAAAGCGATGTTTACATTTACGGGAGACCCACCTATTAGGCTTTATGGTCAGATGGTGTTGCTTTCAAAATTTAAGCTTCTGTGCTGCAAGCCATTTTTCTTCATGCTTGCCACATTGTTCAAATAAGAAGTTAAAAATTAGGAGGTTGCTAGTAAGCTTGTGAATGTGATAATAATTCTAATCATTGTATATACAAGATTTTAAAACTCTTTAGAGAAATAAATATTTGTTAGTTTCATATCATCTCGACTCTTTCCATGATTTCATCTTATTCTAAGAACGGAAAACTTTCGGGCACTGTTGAATGTACTGAGCTGGATTGAAGTTTCATGTCCTGACCAGTACATAAGTGCCGCATCGTCCGGTTGGCTATCTCACTTTGGCCCATTATTCTGACCAGTTTTGAAAACTAATACCCTTCTATGCAGTAGGTAGCAAATCAACACAAACCATATACGAACATACTTTTATACATTGAAAAATTGATGAATTTTGCCTTTCTTGCCATTTGCTTTTATCAAATTCAATGTCGTCTTTTATTCAGACATCTCTTGTTGTTTCATGTTTATTTGATATAAAACCTTTTATTTATGGAAAATCTTGATTCTGTATCGTAGCTTTCGAGAGAACTAGCTGAGTTATCGTTAATTTAAGTAAATTAGATCTTCACAGCTATAACATTGCTTTTTGAACAAGTTTTCCGAACTTCCATTAGCTGAAGATAAAACATGGCGACTACGAAATTCATATGTTTCCTTTATCAGAATTCTTTTGTGGAGTTCGAACAGGAGCTAAGTATTATACAGTCACTTACCACAGAATACGTTCGGATAGCCTTGACCGGGAGATTTTTTCTGAGACGACAAAATCATTGTGAAAAAATTAATGTTTTTGGCATATAATGCGTCTAATAAAACAACTTAATCCGAGTATTCTCCTTCTCATTTTCGACACCCTCCATACGTATTCAACCGGTAAGCGTAAACAAAAGCATCAAAATAATACAAGTTAATTGATAGTAGTTTCGGCGCCAAGTTTGAAAAGTGTGAAATTAACAAATTGCCTAACAATTCCGATTCATCGTTGTATAAAATTTCTTTTTTGTCTTGATTCTTTGTTAAACGGAGAAACTTTTTCTTCTCTTGATATTGAAACTTTAATTTCAATTTTCATGGAAATAAAAAGGAAAGTGCACATTCATAGCTTGGAAAAGGAAATGCCTGGTTTCTTAAATCTTTTCCGTCAGTTTTCCTTTCATACTATAATTGGCTGTTTGATGATATGGAGGGCAGTTCGAACTTGTTCCTTCTTCGCTTTCAAATTCGAGAAATAAGATGAGCAGATACGTTTGCAATTCTCCCCCAATGGCAATACGCGGAATGCCGTTCCTTTCCTTGAAGTTATCGTTGAGTTGATGTGAAAGGGCAATCGTGTAGCAATTTGAACTTTTAGGAAACCTTGAAATTTTTCTATGAACTGGTTGTACAGATCAAGTCTTCGCGATCATTCCCTGTTAATTATTCAGAATTGTGAGTAGTGTATTATCTTTGAGTCATATTAAAAGTGAGATTGTATAGTCTTGATTATGTGAGAAGATTTTCTCAAGTCATCTTTTGAATAATAATTTTAATTTTTTTTTTGGCAGTTTCCCTCATAAAACAAGATTTTTCTCAATACGCCCGCTGTCGGATGTAGTCAAACCCTGATGTCGATGCGCTGGAGAATAAATGAGCGAGAATCTTCAGTGAGAACGATAGAGAGAGTTGAAGAGAAATTGGACATTGCTAGAGGAGATATTAAGAGAAATAGAAAGGGAGAAAGAAAAAGAGAAAGATAGACGTACTGATTCTGGGAATGAATGGTTGCGAGAGAGTTATGTAGCTATCGGCTGGTAGCTAGCTGGTTAGAAGGCATAGCTATGAGAGATGAATACTGTACCATAGAAAGAGGTAAGCGAAATTTTTTGAGAAGAGGCAGCTAGACTGTATGAGAGAAATAGATAGATGAGGAGAGAGCGAGGTAGGAAAGGGTTGGAAGATAGTTGTCGTCATTGTCGTAGGACTGGAGGATAGACAAGGCCAAGGCCAATCGAATGGCGATCTGCATCATCGCCGCCCGCTGTGTGTGTCGTCGTGGAGGCCGGCTGGAGCTATCTCCTCCTCCAAACTTACGGTCATACCGTTTCTCATCATTCCTCTCTTTCTCAAACTCTCTCTATCAATAATTCCATGATGAACCATCTCTCAACTCTATCATCTGATACTTTCTCAATAGCCTTAGCACCAGCAACGACGTTGAACAGCCAGCCGCAACGCTTCCTTTCTACGTCGGTGTTGTCGCCATCGGAGCTTTAGGCTCTACATCACTAACATTGACAGCGACTTTTTTCTTTTCATTATCTGGTTTACGTTCTTTATTATTGTTCTATTATGCTCTTATTATAATATTTTCGTTTTATTTTGCTTCTTATTGGAAGTTCTTCTTGAGTTGTATTATCTTTTTTTCTGAAACTGTAATCGTTCTTGTGCGTGAGCCATTCTTCCAAACTCAGTGAAATGTATCTCGTTTATCTAAGTTTCAAGAAGTGATTTTGTGTTATTTTGGTATGAAATTATGATCTTACTATTCATTTGGTTCAGAAAACGTGTTAGTACGTAGCTATGAATTGCTTTTATATTTTGATAACTATTGATTTATCATAGATTGATCCTCTTCTTCTAACTTCATTTTCTTTCCTCAAATTTATTTTTTCTCCTATACTGTAATCCCTTATTGGCATTCAAGGCGGAGATTGCGCTTGTCTTTTGTTTTCTTTCGGAAAGTTTGACACCAAAAAACGATTTTTTCTTTATCAATCAGATTTTCCTAATTTTCCTTTCATATTTTAAGGTTTAATGTTCGCTTTTGCCTGAATTTCTATTGTGTTCTTGATTACCTTTTTCACTCACTGCAAGTTTGACGTGATGTTTGAAAAATTGACCGAATCGCAACGACATGTTTTTCAATCCAATTCACAAGTTCTTTCGTACATCAGCAGCTTGTGCGTTCTGAGGTACTCCGGTGCAGAGTGCTTTCCTTATGCTGAAGCTCACTTCTTCAAATTTCACATTCGATAGACAGCAAAAGTCTCTTTAATGTGCACGAAGACAGTTTTACATAGTTCGCTTTTTACTTTCTTCATGTTGATTGTTTTGTTATCAGATAGTTGATAGATATATATGGATTGAATGGAGGGAAGAATAGAGAAAGAGAAAGAGAGAGGGAAAGAACGGCGAAAAGGGGAGGTGAGTGATAAAACTGAAAGCTATGAGAGAAGAAGAGGTAAAAAAGATAGAAAGAGAATGTCCTTGCACTCTCGTTGTACCAGTCCGTACATCGCACGCGTTGCTAAAGATGAACAGAGGCCGTGGGGCGGAGCTTGCACATCATGTACACGGTATCCAAAATCTATCTGGTTGGCTAGTTAGCACAGCTAGTAAACAACAAAAATGTAAGGGAAGCGATGTCATTTCTGCTTAAGAGAAGAAAGTCATCAGAATAATCGCTCATCGCCTTTTCTCTCTATCTTTTCTCTGTCTGTGCAATCGCTTTGAAGTGAATTATCTCACTGCAGTTCCTTCTTGCCTCATACAGTAGTATTGGGGCCAACTTCGTATGTTCTTCATCGATGGCGCCAAGGGCATAAGTATAATTGGTGTTTATGCAGTACAAATACATCTTTTACATTCGTTTTCTCTCCTGTTTTTTCGTTCTCTTCTTCTTATAAATTTTATATACAAAAAATGCGATGTACGATAAAAAAATGATGAAAATATATGCGTAGAAGAGAACTATAAAAGGGAAGATTATGGGAAATTGCCATTCTTCAAATAAAATTGAGGTCACGAGCAACTAGTTGTTTTGGGCAATAGGAAAAGAAATGCGAAATGAATTCTTTGCCCAAATTTGCAAAAATGACATTGTTTTCATATCTCTAACTTTCTTACGAACGTTATCCGTTTCAAAATCCTTCCACAAGCTTGCGACATCTAACGTTGCAATCCGTTATCTTTTTTTTTTGAAAAAAGTTCACTTTCGTCATTTCTAATCTAGTTAGTTAAAAGGGACAGGGAAGAATAAGCTTGATGGCAATCAAAGTGAGCTTGACTATCCGGATCCCGAATTGGACAATAGCAGAGCCATTTCGATTCTTTGTCGAACGATCATCTTTCCCATTCGAAAAGATCTTCTCTGAACATCAGGGCAAGAAGTCAAAGTCGATACGAACTGGATCTGTATCCAGTTAGTCCTTCAATAGAAAGAACAGCAATAGCGAATTGAAGCGAGACCGTCAATGGAGATTGAAGTGATGGACCATTATTTAATTTATCTTTCTTCGTCCATTTCATTTTCCTCCCCCAAATCATTTTCATGAATCCTGGAGAGCTTTTTCTTTCTTTTTTCTTCAACTTCAAGAGAACTGAACTGGGAAGCTTATCAAAAGAAAAGTTATAGAACTTTATACAATCGTTTCTTTCTCATTTGAAAATGAAATTTAAATATGGATGCACGTGTACTATTAAGCAGGTTTCTTCGAATTTTCATGTTTGGAGTACAGCTTTTTGATAGTCTGGGAATTTGCATAAATACGTCATGAACAACATATCGCGTATCGCTAGAAATACCCGTCATGCTTGTTTTTAAGAAGTTCTTGACATCGCTATGTAAGCTGACTATACCTGTCAAGTTTCCATGGGAAACTCATGTTCGACAACCCAGCGTTTTAACTTGCTTAAAGCTATAAGCGATTGTTTTCATCTTCAAGCTATCTAGATCTGAGTCGATGTTTTCAATTCGCGCAGACAGTGAAATTCTCCTTTTCGGTGGCGACAAAGCTAACGTCCAGTTGTTGAACGATAAGTTAGGTGTCT